TCAGCTTTCGGTGGCCTAGTTTTACCTTCTCTCGTCAGTAGAATCTAGAGTTGTAACACAGTACATGATATATATATTAGGCACGAAGATGGAACCAGGAACATATATATATACTGTTCCCAGATGGAACTGATTGCAGATTAGCTAAATTATCTGTCGTAAAGGATCGTAAGATGCAGTCACAGAAATAATTATTTGATATTTAGATAAAAGAAGATGTGGTATGAGTGCCAATGAGACAACTCTAAATCCAAGTCAAAATTTATAAAAGTAAACCACTATAGGTCAAAGTACGGTCTTCAACACGGAGCCTTGGCTCACACCGAACAGCAAGCTATAAAGGGCCCCAAAAATTACTAGTGTAAAACCATTCAAACGGGAAAACCAACGGTCTAATCTATATAAAAAAACGAGAAACGAGAAACACTTATGAACCACATCAACAAACGACAACTACTGAACATCAGATTCCTGACTTAGGACAGGTGCAAACAAATGCAGCGGGTTTAAACGTTTTAATGGTACCAAACCTTCACCCTTATCTGAAACAATAGTGTAACATCACAACATAGAAAGACACACTATAAAATATCAATTGAAATGGCTTAACTCAATCAAAAGAGATATTAACACCAGTGAACATACACTTAACAAATAAATTTGATCTATGATACAATGTAAATACAAAATAAGTAAAATAAGGAAAGAATAACGTGTAAACAAGTGACAACTCTACGACAGATCCATCTATTGGATCACCTGTGAAGGTGATACACGACTGAAAACACATATTATATTCATAATTACTCTAAATATCAGCACAACAATGTTACATCTGCAAATTTGCGGAAGCAAATTTTTGTTCTTCACTCGCCCGGATTCAAACTCATGCTATTGGGATATCGTGACAACACCGCCTGCACTGTGCCCAGATCTCAATATATATATTTAATTACCATGCCGCCACATCAAATTTTAATGACAACTTTATTACAGACATTCTCCATCGGATAACATGTGGTTTATACAGGGCTATAACACCATTATATGTATATCATTCGTCTCAAATTTAGCCCAACAATGTTAGATCTTCAAATTTGTTCTTCCCTCAGCGGGATTAGAACCCTTGCTTCTGTGACATCGTGGCAACACCGCCTGCACCGTTTCCAGCGCCCTATATATTAGAGTAGATCGGATTCTAAACGTGACAAATTTACGACAGACATATTCCATAGGGTAACTCGTGGGTATACAGGACTAACACCTTAATTTATATATAATTCGTCTCAAATTAAGCCCAACAATGTTAGATCTGCAACGCAAATTTACGTTCGCAAGTTTTTGTTCTTCCCTCAGCGGATTCTAACCCTATTTTAGAAGAACCTCAAACACTGCAACAAATATTTCAAGTAATCTGCCTATACATCTCTCTTGTTCGTTCAGTTCTGGAACACCTCCTACACAGAGTGGGACTCGTATCTACAGAATGATACTGGCTGTCATGATTGAGAGTGTACAACGAAGAGTGGCTAGTTTTGTGCACGTGCAAAGACTATATATGGGCGTACAAAAAGTCACGTCACCTTCATGATGAAGGGCCTTGGTTGCAGTGGCGTACTTTTTCCATGGATTCTCACTAACATTTTTATCTAGAAAAAATAGGGAGATGAAATATAGACCATGTATTATGTACATTTAGTATAGGGAGGAGGGTGGTCTTAAACATTTGACGGCTGTACCATTAAAGTACAAGTTCATGTGTATCTCTCATTCTAAACAGATTGACAGAATTTATCCAAATCTAAAATACGACCAACATAGTGAAATATCTTGTTTAAGAAAGGGACAAACCATACCCTGTAAGACTCTGATTCAAAGAGAACCGCCTCGGTGGTCTTGTGGTAGCATGTTCGCCTCGAGTGCGGAGGTCGTGGGTTCGAACCCCGGCCTGGTCAAAGCAAATACTTTAAAATTGGCATTTGCTGCTTCTCCGCTAAGCACGCGGCATTAAGGAGTATGCGTAAGACTGGTCGGCTCAGAATCAGAATAACGTGTCCGGGTAAACATAAACATTCGTCCTGAATATGCGTATTAATTGGACATTAAGCAGCCATCCACCATCATCATCCGATTCAAAGAAGAAGTTCTGTAAAAATGACACCATTAAGAGGCTTGTTTTTTTATTGGCAGCATATGTTCGTTTTATTCAAGAACATGTTTTCAAAAGACAGTTCGCATTCCAAAGGAACCAACACTGCTCCACTTCTATGGTTTGTTCTATATTTGTGTGAGGCAGAATTCATAATGGTATTTTCACGAGAATGAAAAGATGCTTCAGTTATCCTTTGACTTCACTTTTCCCTTTATATATGGATGATGTTTTCTCAATGAATAATCCGACGTTTGGTGGCTATGTTTATCGCACCTTTCCCATTGACTTTAAATTATAGTTAGGTCAACTTCATATATTGACTTGCATAACAAAATTGGCAGTAAGGGTCAGTTGAGAACTTGACGACAAAGAGATTACTAATATTTCAATTTATCCTTTTTCATTTTCATTTTCATTTTCATTTTTTTTATATGTATCAATAGTAGAGCAGCACCAGCCACTTGTATTTGAATACATATCTCAATGTTGATTAAAACGTTATTCCAGGGCACGAGTTTCTTCTTATGATTTCCTTGATAGAGGAGAGTTTGTCCTTACACGAAAGCTGCCGAGCCAAGTGTTCGTAAAAGGCAAAGGGCCATTCCATTTAATATCTGAAAAGGGGGATGGATGGTTACCTTGTCAAAGACCCCCTAAGAAAATTTTCACACAAGTTTCAATCCCTCATGCAGATGCTAGGTTTTAAATCCCTCAGATGCCAAATCGTGCCCAAGAACTTAGACCCATCAGAAACAAAAAATGGGCCGGTCCCCCATCAAAATTACTTTTAAAACCCCGCCCCAGACCCCCCCCCCCCCCCCCCAACTTTTTCAGATGTTAAATGGAATGTTCCAAAGTTCACCATCATGATAAGGGAGAACGGTATGGAATACTAAGTATCTGTGTCAAAGATGGCCAAGGATTTGTTTCGATTGTTGTATCCACAATTCTCTCCTCCTTTCCTAGTTTATGACATATTATCGAATGATCGCTTGTTATGGGCAACATGAATTGATTACATAGATCAGGAGCTGCTTAGATTTCAAGAGCACCTGAGTGCAACTCCTGTGTTGCTCTTTGTTTTCTTTGTAATGTTTTGTAGACTTTTGATTGCCTGTTCGTTCTTTTCTTTTTGTCATGGTCTTTTATGTTTTTTTCTATTAATATTTTGTTATTGTCCCTTTGTATCGATATATTACATATATATGTTTGTGATATACCTAATTTTCTTGATACTATACTTAACTTCAGTAAACAGCTATTAAAAATGAATTTCCTCAGCTGAAAAGAACCACTGCGAATCTTTCATACAACGTCGATAGTGGTGAGGCAAATGTCTAATATATTTAAATTTGTTAGTATTTATTTTTCTAGAAAGAAAGATCGACGAAGCTGTTTGTGAATAATGAGGAATAAAAAAGTGACCTAAACTTCAAGGTGTCATAAAAAATATAAATTGGTCAATTTCGGAAGAAATTGATTCGAATGACCTAAATTGGTGATTGGTTGTCAATTTCATGACTCCCGCCAAAGCTCTCCGGATCCAGTATCCATGCACCTTGGCATAAACTTTAACATCAAAAGAATCTGTACAACGACTTTTTAGAGGTGATCGTGGTTGAATATTGTTTTGTCAGTACCTCAGCGTCATAAAGGGAGATGGAGACAACAAAAAAACCAACCGTGGCACAGTACTAAAAATTTCAAGATAGATATCATGATTCCAACTGAATACAGTCAAAATTAATGCTATATATACGTAAAGTTATTTATGTCTGAAGATTCCTTCATGTCGATTATAATTTTCATCCGTCTGTAAAGAATGTAATCTTTCCTGATAAATAATCTAGTTGATTTATTTTCAATTTGTATAAATACTATCCTAAGGATCATGGAGTAGTCCGGACTCATCATAGTCCAGTTCGTCAGTAGAACCGGGGCCGCGTTAGTTTTGCTATGTAGGATGTGCGTATAATTACGCAGACACGTCCGTTCAGAATAGGGATGTTCAATCCTATTCCTCGTTTAGGGAGAGTGCCATGCACACTCTCTTTAAAAATAAGGAGATGTGGTATGATTATTATTTGACTACTATATATTCACTAGAGTTCAAATAATTCGATATATGCACGCTCTCCGCACGTTGAATAGTCACGGTTGCGAATGCTCTTTGATGGGTGCGTAGGTAGGCTGTCGCCGGACATTAATTTATTTCCTTTTCGACATACTCTTTTTCCAGGTGCATTAAATATTTCACCCCGGTCTTCCCATTTTGAAGAACCTGCTTACTTCATTTATTGTTGATTTGTTCTCGTCCTGAATATGCATGAAAGCAACAATCAATCATGTTCAATCAGTCTGCCCAGTGGCGGATCCAGGAAGAGGGGTGGGGGGGGGGGGGGGTTTGACGATCAATGCATTTGAATGGGGACATACAGTTGGAACCCCCCTCCTTTATCCTGGGTTAGGACCCCCCTTTTTTATAAATGGCTGGATCCGCCCCTGCTTCCCCCCCATATTTTACTTAGACACGAATTATCGTTAGTAATATTAGGCGATAACTACAACACTGATCATCCATGGACACTTGAGAACAAGGATTTGTATAGTTCTCACTATACAAATCCTTGTTGAGAACATAAAGCCCAAACCTCAAATGAAGATATCAATGATAGTTGTAATATATCATATTACAGAATCATTGCAAAGCAACTGATTATGGATTATGATGTGACACGCCGTGTGATGTGATTCTATAAAAGTTATGATCTTCAAAGTTTTATAATATTCCCGCTTAAAACTTTGAAATCTGAAAAACGGAAATGGGCTGCGCAACAACATATGCGCATATGCCTGCTTGGCCAAACGAAGAGGACGCATTGGAAAGGTTTGTTATTTCACTTATTTTCATATAGCATACACAATGATACTAACGCAGACATAGTTGGTCTGGCTCAAAATGAACAAAGAAAACAATTTGTATCAGTTTTAGATGGTAAATGTGCAGTAATTCTTCAAAATTAAATCAATTCACCGATTTCATTGTCTGCCCTAAATCGATCCATGAGCTGCGGCGTCGGTGTCATTTGACTTGTTGTAACAGGCTGTTGTTGGCTGCATATCAGATAATGTAAAATGTTAATATAGACGTAATTTATTCTCATCGTTGAAAAATTACGAGGTAGATATAGCGAAACTGGTGACGATTTAATTTTCAGTTGTAGTCCGAAACCGGAAACTGGTTCAAATTTTTTGTTTACATCTGTAAAGAGCAGGACGTAGGCTAATTCCATATGATATTGCAGTCATAATTTTTAACTGTATCCTTTTCCCCACTTTCTTACAAGTTTAGCTTGACTAAGTGGCAAAACAATTTACATCAGGTAATATAATGACAATGGACATGATGAATTAGTTTTGCTGGGTATCAATTCTTAAATCCTTGCAATTTACTTGCTTAAAAATTGGATGGACAAGTCATATTTCAGTATCTTGAACTTGAGATTGAAATGCCATTTTTCTTTTCCATGTTTCAATATCATTTCACATACTCCTGTGGGTGAAAGACTATGATTTTCCATCTTGGGAATGAATCTGTGCTGTTGGCATTAATAGTTTTTATACGACCGCAAAAAAATTTTTGTGGTCGTATATTGGTATGACGGCGTCGTCGTCGTCCGAAGACACATTGGTTTTCGCACTCTAACTTTAGTTTAAGTGAATGGATCTCTATGAAATTTTACCACAAGGTTCAATACCACAAAAGGAAGGTTGGGATTGATTTTGGGGGTTATGGTACCAACAGTAAAGGAATTAGGGGCCAAAAATAAGCATTTTTGTAACTTCCAAACATAACTTGTGTGTTAGTGTATGGATCTCTCTGACATTGTACAACAAGGTTCCATATCACAAAAGGAATGCTGGGATTGATTTTGGGGGTAATTGCCTCAAAATTTTAGGAATTAGGGGCCAAAAAAGGGGCAAAAAACAAGCATTTTTCTAGTTTCATGACAATAACTTGTGTGTAAGTGTATGGATCTTTCTGAAATTGTACTACAAGGTTTCATATCACAAAGGGAAAGCTGGGTTTGAGTTTGGGGGTAATTGCCCTAAATGTTTAGGAATTTGGGGCCAAAAAGGGTAAAAAAAACGCATTTTTCTAGTTTCCAGACAATAATTTGTGTTCAAGTGTATGGATCTCTCTGAAATTGTACTGCAAGGTACCATACCACAAAGGGAAGGCTGGGATTGAGTTTGGGGGTGATGAATCATAAGGGGGTTCAAAAAATTTGGGGGGGGATTTTTTTTTTTTTTCCTTTTTTTTTCTTTTTTTCCTTTTTTTTTTCTTTTAAAATTTTCCATTTTAAGTTGGTTATTTCTGATTTATATTTAAAAGCAAATAATAATGATATGGTAGGAGATACACACCAAACAGGATGTGTAAATTATTATATAATAAGTATTGTGCAATAGCAAGAAATTTTCAATTGCACAGTATTGCTTAATAGCAAGAAATCTTCAATTGCACAGTATTGCGCAATAGCAAGAAATCTTCAATTGCACAGTATTGCGCAATAGCAAGAAATATCCAATAGCACAATATTGCGCAATAGCAAGAAATTGTCAATTGTACAGTATTGCGCAATAGCAAGAAATATTCAATTGCACAGTATTGTGCAAAAGAAGATACTTCGTATAAATTGCTTATTTCTTGATCAATTTCAATGGGGTTTTATTCTTGAATTCTTGGGGTTCTTTAATATGCTGAATCTAACCATGTATTAAGTTTTTGGATTTTGGGCCCCGTTTTTAAATTGGTCCACATTGAGGTCCAAAATTTAACTTTGTTTGATTTCATCAAAAATTGAATTTTTGGGGTTCTTTGATATGCCGAATCTAACCGTGTATTTAGATTCTTAATTTTTGGTTCCGTTTTCAAATTGGTCTACATTAAGGTCCAAAGGGTCCAAAACTAAACTTAGTTTGATTTTAACAAAAATTTAATTCTTAGGGTTCTTTGATATTCTGAATCTAAACATGTATTTAGATTTTTGATTTTGGGCCCAGTTTTCAAGTTGGTCCAAATCGGGGTCCAAAATTAAACTTTGTTTGATTTCAACAAAAATTGAATGTATGGGGTTCTTTGATATGCTGAATCTAACCATGTACTTAGATTTTTTATTTTTGGGCCCCGTTATCAACTTTGTCCACATTGAGGTCAAAAGGGTCCAAAATTAAACTTTGTTTGATTTCATCAAAAATTGAATTCTTGGGGTTCTTTGATATGCTGAATCTAACCATGTATTTAGATTTTGGATATTGGACCATAATAGGTGAATGTCCAATTTAAAATTTTTAAGTTCTTAGACCACATTCATTCTGTGTCAGAAACCTATGCTGTGTCAAATATTTAATCACAATCCAAATGCAAAGCTGTATCAAGCTTGAATGTTGTGTCCATACTTGCCCCAACTGTTCAGGGTTCGACCTCTGCGGTCGTATCAAGCTGCGCCCTGCGGAGCATTTTATTGTTTTATGAAGTACAAAATGTATTATGACGAACTGAATGGGTTTTTTTTTTGCACTGAATTTTATAACTGGACATATATAGAAATCATCCTTAAATTAGTCTTGCTGTTGCAGCAAATAGATATAAGATGTGGTATGAGTGCAAATGAGACAAAGGCTACATGTATTTCTCGAACCATATATTTCACCAGAAAAGATGTAACTACCTGATATCGTAACTGGCATAATGCAATGAGACAAATAGTCTTTTTGCAAAATACAGTTATTTTTATTTTAAAAAAAATCTCTGTCTACGGTTATTAGCAATTAGAAATATTAGTTGTCTACGGTTATTAGCAATTCTAGTATGACATGCTTCTTTCGCTTTGTAAACAATAGGGTGATTAAATTCTCGATATATCTATACTTAGCGCAAACTCAGAGATACATGTTACATATTAATGGTTGTTACTATTTACCTCCCACGTAAATCCACATGTATCGTAACCTATGTGCAAACACTATGACGATTTCGTTGTGTTTGAATTAAAATTAAAAAAGAAACTACAGACTGCTATTCCTATTCTAATGCATAATAAAAAAAAATTAATGCACAAGACCTTAAAAAATGTACAAAATCAAAATAAAATAAAATTCTGCAAAATTTCGTGAATGATCTTGGCGCATTAATGTCATACGAATGAAAACTCTCAAGCTGAAGGTTTTCCCTTACATATATGCCCTAAATTCGGATAATATCACATTAAAACAGAGTTTTGAGGTAGGTGTTGTTTCACTTTCTATTCTATTGCATTATTTGCACATTTGTGGATTTCAGCAAGTCAACATGGCGGCTCACTCCTTAGTTACGACATGTCAGCTGTGGATTTACGCACGGCAATCTTACCTCCGTTTCAGTTTTTAAATTACCGTATTTGCCCTATTAGAATCGAAATAATTCATGGAAGCCATATATTTGTTGGACATTTACACATGGCCTGGGCCGTGATATTCAAATTTTATCCTGATCGTTTTCCATCAAATCTATGGCTCCCATGAATTATTTCTTAATTAGAAATATTAGTTGTTGGAAAATTTTTCTTTATTCATGAATTCTCAAGTAGCTAGGTAATTAATTTTTAGAATATTATTCACCATGAAACAAGAATTATTACAATACATGTACATACTGTCTATATATTTTGGTAATTATACATTAAAATTAAGAATAATTATTTTAAGTCTGTGTGAAATAACTCACTTTTCTGGACTAAAATGATGCAGTGTGAACAGGAACCAGGACAGACCGATCTGTTATGTTGGGGACCAACTGATGGATATTAATTGTTATCAGCAAAAATATTAGGTGTCAAGGCCCAAATTTTTATAGCCTAGGATACTGGATCCCTGCTAATCAGTTTCCCTGCCTTATTGATAAAACAAAACATTATAAGCTATAATAGCCTGTAGAACAACTACTCTCTGGATTGTAAAAGATTTGATTTCTATACTTTACACCGAGCCAATGTCTTGTCAACTTGGGAATAACTGCAATTGTCATGCACAGATTTTTAAGGTGTTTAGACTTACCATACATAACTGTATAGATAAATTGTATATTTTCTTGATTTTTCCTTTTTTTAGACTTTCCCTTGAAATGGTGTAGGAATTTCATCAGAATGGTGTATGATTTTGATGTCAGAGATTTTTGTCAAAACTTGAAGGCCACTAAACCACCTTATGAATGTCCGGTTAAAGACTGTGGTAAAGTGTATAAAAGTTATTGTGGTATTCAGTTTCATCTATATAATTATGATCATGATAACCCAGAAAATAACAGTCCTACTCCAACTGGTAAGAAACCTGGTAAGAAAAAAGGAAGATGGGGTCATCACAGATCAATGCGAAGATCACCCACTCCACCAGAATTTGTTAAACCAGCTCCAAGACTGGAAACTCTGACCTATGCTGAAGCACAAAGACTGGTGGAAATTGATGTTGATGGTAGGATTCATAGAATAAATATATATGAACCTTTAGAAATAATATCTCAAGATCAGATAGACAACCAGAGTAATAAAGAAAAAGAAGAGAAAGCGGAGAAAGTCCCCAAAGTAACTAAGCAGCATACAGATAAAAACAAAACTAAAAACAAAGAAGCACCAGTCCCAGCCGATGTAAACAATGCTGGTAAATTACCAGAGGCACAGTTTAAGATTGTGGACAATTATATCAAGCCAACAAATCCTAAACCAAGGCCAAACTCATATTATCGTTATATTGAAAAATCTACAGATGAGTTGGATGATGAAGTTGAGTATGATATGGATGAAGAGGTGAGTAAACTGTCCAGACAAGGAAATTCACTAAGTATCATGTTTTTTACAATTTTTATTAGTTAATGCGATCTTTTAATTAGTACACATGTGCAATGGTGAAGATGTAGATACTAAATGTGATTTTCATGAAATAATATTTTAGAATCAAGAAAAATATATCTGTTTCTATATATCTTCTTTCACTGATCTGTACCTATAATTTATGATATTGTCTACCATATCATATTTTACTGACCATTTACCAGGTTCTGAACAACTACATCTGCATCAAGCTACATTAATTATCTCCCTTTAAAATTTGTTAATGAAATTTCAGTTTCTCACTTATCAAGCTACATGTACATGTACATGTATACTAGCCCAAACTTTACAACAAATAAACCAAATCTGTCTATAAACAGTCTTAAAACAGAAGGAAATATGTTGATACCTGATGATGAAGGTGACATATGTCAATCACACAGAGATTCGTATGATATTTTTTTTAGCATTTAAAATTCAGCAGTATTGTTGCATGCTGAAGTCAATTACACATTGATGATTGGTAATTACCTTTGTATTACAACTGGTTTTGATGAATACATTTGGTAAAATTAATCAAAAACCTTGTAGTCCTTTATTGTATCAAGTTATTAGACAGCAACCTACATTTGTACCAGTAATTAATTAGGCCGAGAAAAAAAAATCTGTGTTTCCGGTAACCCTATTTTTTAGCCCCGACCCTAATTTTTTTATTGGATCTTCAAAAAAAATTTTTTAAAAATGGTATCAACCGACCCTGTTTTTGACACAGGCTTCTGTTAATCGACATAACTATTTATCTAACTTGCTTCTACTGGCACAGAAAGCCAGTAAAACATTTTATTTATGTCAAAAGGTTTTCCATATAGGTTAAAATCCAAGAAATTTGCACAGCAGGTGCTTCAAAACATTGCAAATGGGCGCACTTCCGTATTTGAAACTAATTACGGACCCGGACTTGGAAAAACCATGATAATTTTCCGGATTTCGTTTACAATGTAAAAAAAAATAATAATAATCCGACCTACCGACCCTATTTTTCAAAATGATGTTACCGGAAACACAGATTATTTTTTTTTAGGCCTTACACAAGATATAAAAGAGCTATTATATATACATGTACATACATGTATTTATGGGTTAAAAAAAAAGATCAATTTTAAACAATATCATCAATTTCCTATCTTGATGTTGTAAGTCAAAAATAAGCATTTGATAAAATCTTTTTATATATCTTTATCAGTAACTTTATTGTTAGGGACATAGAAATACTGGGTGTCCGTCCGGTCTTGTTAGCGCTCTCACATGTACAATTATTGCCAGATTTTTATGAAACTTATATCATAGGTTTATATCAGCAATGTCTTGAATAGGTTTGAAAATCAGTGCTGATCAATTATTTTTAAAAGAGTTATGCCCCTTGGAAACATTAATTATATGGCAAAATTGCATTGTTATCGCTTTCATGTGTACATTTCTTGTCAGAATTTTCTGAAACTTTATTCATAAGTTTATATCAGCAATGAGTTTGAAAATCAGTGCTGATCAAAATTTTTAAAAGAGTTATGCCCCTTGGAAATATTGATTATACGGAAAATTGCATTGTTAGCGCTTTCATAAGTTCTTGTCAGAATTTTATGAATCTTGTATCATAGGTTTATATCAGCAGTGTCTTTGATACTTTCGAAAATAAGTTCTGATCAAATATTTTTAACAAGTTATGCTCCTTGGAAATATTAATTATAATGGAAATCACATTGCATTTGTTCTGAAGCCTTCATTTCTCTAAGATATTAAGATAAAGTCTTATAGAACAAAAAAAGTGCTTTTTGTCGAGCCTTCAACTTTTGTGGAAAAAGAGAGACATAGCGATCCTACATTCTGTCGTCGGCGGCATCCACAAATATTCACTCTGTGGTTAAAGTTTTTGAAATTTTAATAACTTTCTTAAACTATCCTGGATTTCTACCAAACTTGGACAGAAGCTTGTTTATGATCATAAGATAATATTCAAAAGTAAATTTTGTAAAAAAAAAATTACATTTTTTCCGTATTTTACTTATTAATGGACTTAGTTTTTCTGCCAGAAACATTACATTCACTCTGTGGTTTAAGTTTTTGAAATTTTAATAACTTTCTTAAACTATTCTGGATTTCTACCAAACTTGGAAAGAAGCTTGTTTATGACCATAAGATAGTATCCAGAAGTAAATTTTGTAAAAAAAAAATTCCATTTTTTCTGTATTTTACTTATAAATGGACTTAGTTTTTCTGCCAGGAAACATTACATTCACTCTGTGGTTAAAGTTTTTGAAATTTTAATAACTTTCTTAAACTATCCTGGATTTGTACCAAACTTGGACAGAAGCTTGTTTATGATTAAAAGCTATAGTATCTAGAAGGAAATTTTGTTAAAATTTTGTTCCATTTTTTCCGTATTTTACTTATAAATGGACTTAGTTTTTCTTACAGTTAACATTACACACAGTCTGCAGTTTAACATGTTTAAGTTTTTAAAACATTTATTAGATATATCGATTCATAAACTATCCTGGATTTTTACCAAACTTCGACAGAAGCTACTTACAATCAAAAGATAGTATAGAGAGGAATATTTTTATTAATTTTTTTCCTCATTTTTGTTGAGCCTGCGATTAACAGCAAAAGTAGGCGAGACACTGGGTTCCGCGGAACCCTTACGAATTTTTAAGTTAATGCTCTTGTAAAAACGGCCGTTGTAGTGCATATTTCGGCACTTTTTTACATCGGTTATTAGATGTACTGCAACTGTTTCCAATAAGTGTTTATATCGGTTATCAGATGTACCTGCTGCCAATTTCCGGTACTGGTTTACAGATTAATTATAAACAAACCAAAGCGGCGATCTACACGTGGCCTACTAAATTTGTTCATAGAGCCATCCCTGGCAAACAATCCGCAATTGAACCCGACAATGGAGCAAACGAATACTGTAACAGCCGAGAAAGTGATTCAGATGATGAAATGGATAGTGAAGATGACTTTAAAAAGAACAATCAGAAGACCTGAACTGGTCCTTCATTGTTAATTTGCCTGTGGGTGCGAAGAATAAAACTAATATTAATAAAGTTATTTTTCGATAAAATATGTTATTAATTTTATTTCTGGATAAAATTGACAGATTTTGTAGGACTGACAAATAATCATGCTTTGTCGGTCCCATGACCGACGGGTCAAAATAAGTTTTCGCGAACTCTGAGCAAGAGAGATTTTTAACTGAATCACCTTATGGGTACTGTGATTTTCACATTAAAATTGCAATGTTTAATCCAAAAAGACATACAAACCATATGTAAATAATACTGAAATATTACTGGAAAGTAAGAACATCAAAATAGCTATAGAATATTAATATTTATTTCAGGATCATGCATGGTTGGAACTGTTGAACAAAAAAAGAGAATCAGATGGACTTACTCTGGTAAATCAAGCAGATTTTGAACTTTTAATGGACAGATTTGAAAAAGAAGCTTTTTTCCAGAGTCAGTCCTCAGGAAAGGATATTGGCCCTCCTATTGATGAAGATGCTGTTTGTAGTATTTGTATGGATGGTGAATGTCAAAATAGCAATGTGATTTTATTTTGTGACATGTGTAACTTGGCTGTGCACCAGGAATGTTATGGTGTTCCATATATTCCTGAAGGACAATGGTTGTGTCGTCGGTGTCTTCAGTCTCCCTCACGAGCAGTTGATTGTTGTCTATGCCCAAATAAGGGTGGTGCTTTCAAACAAACTGATGACGGAAAATGGGCTCATGTGGTATGTGCATTATGGATACCTGAAGTAGGGTTTGCAAACACAGTATTTTTAGAACCCATAGATAGTATGGAGAGAATTCCTCCTGCACGATGGAGGTTATCATGTTATATTTGTAAACAGAGAGGGACAGGAGCATGCATTCAGTGCCACAAAACAAACTGTTACACTGCATTTCATGTGACTTGTGCTCAACAGGCAGGACTTTATATGAAAATAGAACCTGTCAAAGAGCCTAGTGGTTTAACTGTGACAGTTCGTAAAACAGCCTATTGTGATGTTCATGCTCCAGCTGACTCAGATTGTACACCTATGTTAAATGACAGTACTACATCAGAGGAGGAAAAATCAGCAGATGCTAAAGAAAAATCTCGATTAAAAATGAGAAAAGCAAGAAAAATCCTAGCTGAGAAAAGAAATGCCATGCCAGTTGTTTCTATTCCAATAATTCCACAGCTCAGGTATGGTTGCATTAAATCTTAATGTAATATAATGTTGATAATTGGTAAAGATTGTCAAACAAAAATAAAAAATGTGCTTCTAGAGTTTCCTGACCAACCCTAATATTGAGCTCTGACCGTAACTTTTTTGAAGAACTGATTACACTGAAAAAAAACAAGCTAAACAGTAAAATAAATTAAGTCATAAACTGTAAATGTCCTTTGTCTTTTTTTATACCCCGGCTGTAGGCGATGGGGGCATTAAGTGTTACCCTTGACTCTCCATCTTTCCGTCCATCCCATTTTCATTGCAAAGCTTAAGCAGGGGCATTCATGTCCTTAGACACTTTCTTCTTTTATTTTTTTTGGTATAACAATGTCAAAATTTCTTAAATGTGTATTCTAGATATGATGTTTGATAGTTTTGCAGCATAAACATGTACATTGTCTTTTTGATTTCAGACTAACAAAAATAGGTGAAATGCTTAACTTGCCAAAGAAGCAACCATTCATAACAAGACTGTTAAGTTATTGGACATTAAAAAGACAGTCTCGGAATGGTGTGCCACTACTTAGGAGATTACAGTCCAATCATATGACCAGAAACAAAGAGCAGGTATATAATGTTAGGAAGTATTTATTGTTTTGTGTTTATTTATAATCATGAAAGAAGTAGAAATGACATTTGCCTAATATACTTCCAATTTTACAGCTGGAAGGCTTGTTCTTTAGGGGATATTGCATATAATTATATATAATGTTGATTCATTTATTTTCGTGGATATTTGATTTCATGGTTTTGCCAAAGTCTTGCTTACAAGCTTAAAAAAGATCTTTACTTCATGGTTCACGTTGAAGCCACGAAATCACTAAAAATTAGTATCCCAAGAATAATAATGAATCCACAGTACCTGTTTAAGATGTATGGATGACTACTTTACCCATTCCAAAGGAAGTTTATACTGGTATAAGTCTGTCTAACACATTTCTGTCACATTTTCACAGCAACTACATTTCATGGGTTCTTGATATATGGCACCAAGCTTCATCTTGTTATTCCATACCATGTGACAATTTTTCAGTTTCATTACTGCTCTACTTGCTCTCTGCTGAAAACTTCTATCTTTAAAATGTTGTGTACAAATGAAATAAAAATCTGTCTACAGAATACATAGAAATTATTCAGAAATTTATGCAGCCCAATAGATTTTAGTTTATTGCTAGCAATCCCCTTTATGAACAATTACATATTTTTCAGACAAAAAATGATAAACAAAGTAATGCTTTGAAAGAACAACTGAAGTACTGGCAAAGGTTAAGACAGGATTTGGAGAAAGCTAGATTGTTGGTGGAATTGATTAGAAAAAGAGAAAAACTTAAAAGAGAACAGGTGATTAGTCTTTTGTATATACAATTTTTGTTATTATACCAGTATTTGTTAAAAATATGTGATATATGTGTAAATCATAGGTTTCTATCAAAAGGTCATCATATCTATGAAGTTTCAAAGTATTTGAACTTTTCTTTTGCATAAAAGGAATACAATTCTGGTCTCACATGTTCAAGGGGAGATAATCAAATTACCATACTACAATATTGCAATATGTGGCAAGAGTCTCATAAGTGCAACAATTCTAAATAGATAGATGAATATTAATATTAATGAAACCTTACACTTACAAGGTGCAGAACACTATGTAAGGATATTAAGGCAGTAATATCAAGATGTGGCAAATGAAAAATGAAGGGGTAGTGTTATGGAAATAGCTTAGATGAGGACAAATAAATCTATAAATTGAGAACAATCCTGACATTTGAACTCGAAAATATAAGCAAAAAAAACTGCATTCATTCCAATCAGATATTTAAAACTAGCTTAGAAGATAATTTTTGTTTTAAATTTTTATGATTTCATATTGATACTTGGGTTTTTGCAGTAAAGTGTTTATTAAGTGGTAGTATTCAGTTGGACAATTCCAGAATCTGAGTATAGAATGAATGCATTCAGTTTAATACAAATGTCCCTGTTATATGCATAGATTTGGCTTTTTATTATCAAATTATTAATTTTTTATCTTCACTGGTTATTAAATTATTCAAAACAAGGTGAACTGTTTACCTAAAATTTCAAAATTTCCATTTTATAGTATTATTTGAAAAAATTTTTTTTTAAATTTTTTAGCTTAAGGTTCAACAACAAGCAATGGAGATGCAGTTACAACCATTTGCTGTATTGTTGCGACATACATTAGATCAGATCCAAGAAATTGATAATTCTGGTTTCTTCTCTGAACCTGTATCGTTAGATGAGGTAAGAACTTGGTTATACATGTGCATTGTAAGCCTCAAAAATACTATAAGAAATTTATGAAATCAGTTGGTTGCTTTGATTAAGCCAATTTAATACAGACATCAATTAAGTGTTGCTGTGAAGAACTTGAAAGTTTTTCTGTATTCAAACCTGTTCTGACAAGATGGGATTAAATGCATACATGTAGATTATTTTCAACATTTTCTTTTTAATATGATACTATGGGTTTTTCAATATATCATTTTTGTCCTACCTTGACAAAAAAAACGAGACATAAGTATGCTGTTTCCGGCGGCAGCGTCAACAATGTATTTGTGATTAGGTCTAGTTTATGGCGAACAACTAGCGGTAGGTCAATGATATTTGGTATGCAGTTGTATTAGCATTGGCGCATCTCATTACCATAGAGATTATTTGGCCCCACCCTCTCAGTCACGGGTCTATTGACTTTGAAACTTAGCTTAGTTTACATGTATTAGTTTGTGATTAGGTCAGTTTCTGAGGAACAACTAGTGGTAGGTAAATGATATTTGGTATGCAGTTGTATAAGCATTAGAACATCTCATTTCCATGGAGAATACTTGGTCCTTACCCCTCAGTCATGGTCTATTGACTTTGAAACTTTGCTTAAATTACATATAATAGTTTGTGATTAGGTCAGTTTAAGATGAACCACTTATGTTAAATCAATGATATTTTGTAGGCAAATATACAAATGTATTGGGATTTGCAAGTGTCATTTCCATGGAGATTATATAGCCCCACCCCTCATCATGGTTCATTGACTTTGAAACTTTTACATAGTTTACAAGTATATGTTTGTGTTTAGGTTTGTTTAAAGGCAGCGACTTATGAAAAGTCAATGGTATTTGGTATGCAGTTGTATTAGCAATGGCACATCTCATTTCTATGGAGATTGTTTAGCCCTGTACCTTCAGTCATGGTTCATTGACTTTGAATATTTGCATAACTTGCATGATAATTAAAAGATTGCTATTTTGATATCAACATTTGCATTATCAAAATAACAAATAGGTGAGACACATCTTTGTATTAACAGTTTTGAGAAATGACTATTAGTAATCCTCACATCTTTAATTTTGAAAATCTAATGAGTGGTTGAATTTAATCAAATGTGAATTTTGGTAGAATCTATAACCCTAAAAAATTGTGTATATCTGGGATCAACATATGTTGATATAGTTTGAAAAGTAAAACAAAATCATTCCACAGAAAGAGGTAGAGTAAATGTTTAGTCACTTACAGCCCAATGCAATCATCTTACAACAAAAATAACCAATACACACCAATCAATTCTGAAGGTGCAAAAGTTTACACTTTACAGCACCTATTTTGACACCATATGCATTATTTCAAGTTCAAGTGATACAGTTATACATTATACTAAATGCTTAAATCAAGAACCTTAGTCTTAAAATTGATAACCAGAATTGGGCAGCTACTAGTAGCCAACTTTAATAAGGCTTGCTCTAAATTTTTATGAATTTTCTTTTCAGCACACTCTGAATTGAATTGGAAATGAATAACTATCTATGAAATAATAACCATTTTACAGGTACCAGACTACTTAAACTATATTGATAAACCTATGGATTTTACAACAATGAGAAAGAATATAGACGGCCACTCTTACAAGACCATGGATGAATTTGAGAAAGACTTTGAAACCATTATAAGGAATTGTTGCACCTATAATGCAAAAGACACAGTATTTTATCGCTGTGCAGTTAAACTGAGAGATCAGGTAATACATTTATATCAAATAATAAGAACTGTTTAATTTAGCCACAAAATAGTGTATAGTTTAAGTTCATTACTTACTATCAGGCATTTATATTCAAAGTGGAATGCACACTTAATTCTTATTTGACCTAATAATTGCAGTATATACAAAATTCTTTTAATTTTGCATTAAGATAATTCATCAGTATGGGCAATGATTTAAATACAAGGTCTTTCAAAAAATTACATATTTGAAGGTTCTTCAAAATTGATTAAAAAATCCATTTATTGATTTAATAACAACATGAATTATGAGCTGAAATTTATTTTTAATCTTTTGTTATCACAATGAATTTTAGTAATTATTTTAGTCAAATGAGGCTTTTATTGCACCCTATCACTTATGTTTATGTAATGTAAGAATTCACACTTCATGAGTACAAGTAAAAATAATGAATTCGCTTATACTCATGGTCAGAAATAGATAATGTATTCTTCATGTATTTTTCTTTCTTATAGAGACTGTTTTTTATGATGTAAAGATGATCATCACATTTCATCTTTCATTAATACAAATAATTGTAAAGCTACACTCGAATGAGCAGACACAAATGCCTTATGGTTTACAATATATTTTCATTTCATTGAAGTACATAGAATCTTGATATTTTATTTCATTGATTATAGGGTGGAGCTGTGATCAGAGCAGCCAGGAGAATGGTAGAAAGAGTTGGTTACGATCCTGATACTGGATTACATTTAGACAGGGAACCAGATCCTATTGGATCACCTGTGATTTTAGAAGACAGTAAGAGAAATTTACAACAGAATTATTTCAGTTTTTGTAATAATTAACTTATGCTATTTGTTCCCTCTTGGACAAATGCAGAATGTCCATACACAGGGCTCCCTCAGTCTGCATTCCTGGGCTTGCTTAGTGATATTGTATTACAAAGGATATTTGAATAAACAGATTTATCAATGGAAGATAGAAACAAACAAAAACTTTTGTTTAAACTTGATCTTACTAATAGCATACTGAATATTCTAAAAAAAAGTTTATATAATGAGTTGTTTTGTAGTCATGTAATTGTTCTTGTTCATAGTTTATATTGAGTATTAATAAATATCTGCGTCTACTCAATATTTGGAAGGCAGAGTTATTTGCTTGCATTTTTTGGAGTTGAATGACATTTTTATATATGCTTTTTAGTTGATGATTTTTTGGATAAGAGGAAAGAAAACTTGCCATTAGAAGAACAACTAAGAATCCTGTTAGATAACATGGATGCTGCCAATAATAATAGAAAGGGTATGAAGTAGTTAAATTGCCTAAATGTAATCTTGTATCTTTGGCAAACTAAGTTTCTTTATCTTCTTTTTTTAATTAGAAGAAAATTTATTGCCTGTGTCAAATTATGTTTGGTTTGTCTTAAATTAGACGCAAGGAATGACTTGTTTTGTCTTGACTCAAAGAATTTGCAAATGCAAGACTAAGGTGTGGTTCCGGCGACAGGGTTAACAATTTTAAGTTTATGATTAGTCACTATAAGGGGAACCACTAATGGTAAGTTAATGATATTTGGTATGCAGTTGAATTAGCATTGGTATACTTTATTTTGATGTAGATTATATGGTCCAGCTCCCTTAGTCATGGTTCATTGACTGGAATTTTTGCATAGTCTACATGTTAGAGATTGTGAATAGGTCAGTTTAAAGGGAACCACTTATGATGTGTCAGTGCTATTTAGTATGCATTTTTATTTAGCATTGTCATATCGCATTTACATGGAGATTACATGGCCCTGACACATCAGTCATGTTTCATTGACTTTGGAAGTTTTGCATAATATACATGTTAAAGTATTGTCATTTAAATAATCAACATTTGTTTTTATGTCCCTTCCATAGCGGAGGGGGCATTGAATTTTACCCTTGTCCATTTGTACGTCCGTAAGTCCCAAAATTGGTTTGCGTTTCCTAACTTTATTTTCCCTTAACCAAATGTTATGAAACTTATACACAATGCTTATTACGACAAAACACAGATCAAGTTGGAATTTGGATGGCGTTGCTTTTACCTTTCTAGAGTTATGCCCTTTTACAAATGGAAAAATTGCTGAAAAGTTTCTGTTCTCTAAAGTTTGCCTCAACCAAATGTTATGAAAAAGTTATACACAATGCTTATTACAACAAAACTCAGATCAAGTACGAATTTGGGTAGTGTCACTTTTACTGTTCTTGAGTTATGTCCCTATATAAAGTTGTATACAAGTGGGGGTATCATATGTGTCCTATGGACACATTCCCCATTTACTTTCAAAATTACACACAGATGAGACATATCTGTGTTAAAAGTTTATATATATTAAAACTTTTAAGGTGATTAGACACTAAAATTAATATACAATACATATTTTGAAAAAGGGTTTTAGAAGGGGGTTTCTGTTATACTTTCTTTGAAATTCATCAAGAAATTAAATTGAAAGATCACTCATGGGATGTCTTAAAAATTGTTTTATTTTTCTTCTTAGGTAAACAGACCAAACTGATCAAAAGAATCAAAAAGGAAATTCTAAGAGTTAGAAGAAAGCTTGCTTTACAGAAAGGACAGAAAACAAGTGATGCAGACGAGAGTGTTGACACAGGTTTATATTTTTTTTAATAATGTTTTTCCATGATGTTGAATCTACAATCACTATTAATATCCAGTTACAAGGAGAGACAAAAAATGTACTTTGTTAAAAAAAAACCACTTTGATTCTTACGAAATGTTTTTGAAACTGATATCAATTGTATTGTTAACAAATTTGTGAGTGTGTTTGTCACCAAAAGTCAAAACCAGCTGTGGGTCTTCTGCTCTGAGATTTGTTTCTCTTTAGGCCTGTACCTGTCAACGCAATAGAAGACTATAGGTCTGCAATCTATCACACACAAATTCTCTACACTTTTTTATGTAATGCTTCAATCTTTTGATAAGCCATTTAGTATAAACTGATAGTCATGTCTGACATAAGAAGTAAAAGATTAAAGTTCAAAAAAAATTTTTGCGGTAACCTCAGAATGCTTCTTTATTATGAAGAAGATTTAATACAGAGAATTCACTTAAAGAATGGAAAGAAGCTACATGCAGCATTATCTTTAACTTAATCTCCTTTACAGAAGATGCCCTTTTATAATTTTGTTTGGTAATAATGTTCATCACATCAATCCTCATGGCCTGGAATTAAACAACATAACAGATCAGATTATAATGATTAATACCTTGTCATTTACCTAAAACTCAATAGTGAGGCTCATTTGAGAACTAACAATAAAAAATTCTCCTATTTTCTCAGGCTTAAATTAAAATATTGTTTGTTTGCAGTTTACCGACCAACCCTTGAAAATCCCCCCGACTGTGAAAATTTTATTGCTTTAAATTTTAAGAAATTATTTTTAAAACTTCTATTGCCGAGTACAGAAAATTCAGGTCCTTTCCGAAATTGATTTCAGTCTAGGTCAATTACACGTTTTAAGTTCGGTTTTTCTTGCCTTCCCGTCAAGCGTTCATGTGACCGTTTAATGATAAAGCACATGGAAATAGTTTACAGGTATCCATGAAGTTATGTCCTTTACGCTGTCAACTTCTGTCAATTTTAAGACAAATAACAAACAAAAAAGTTTAATATTAAACTGTTTATACAGATTCAGGCACATCGAATGATGTCTTTGATGGTATCATTGAAGAAGATGCAGCGGATATTCACAACCGACACGATAACTCATCTTTGTCTAGTCCTATAACATATGACTTCGCATTCTTATTCAATTTTTAACGTTTTTATACTGATATTTTCATTTTTTATTTTTAGGCAGTTAAGCTGCCTTATGCTACCACCCTTGATTTGTGTTCTTCCCACTGAATGGTGTAAAAAGTGCTATTGTTATTATCTAGCTGGGTAATATGTTATTAATAACTAATTGGGCACTTTTTTCATACTTTCAATTCTGGAATACAAAAAATATGACCAGAAAAACCTTAAATGATCGTCGAACCACCCAAAATTTTTGAAGTTGCACATAGGAAGTAGTGCTCAATAGAAATCCGTACGTAGTTTATAATCCCATGTGCTTTTGGCTAAGATGACAAAGAACAATTGTATGAAATATTTCATCGCCGAAAATCTCTAATTGCAAGTCGTTTACATTTCCCAAATGGCAAACGGCACAGCAATATTGTTCATGTACAACAAATCTCTATGATAGAGGAAATAAAGTTATACATAGTAGTCTAAGTTGGCGGTAATTTTATCTTACACGAAACGTAAGCTAGTAAGTATTCTGATGTTATAAAGTAAGTTTTGTTTATCATGATCTTCTTTTCGTTTAAGAAGATTGTGATTAATCAATTAATTTCAATTAAATGTATGCACATTTAAATTCCTTTCTTTTATTAAATTATTCCGACTAAACTTGCCAATAAAGTTGTTGTTGTTTTATGAATGACAAAGATGAAAATCGACGTTGATCGGATGTTTTATAAAATGTGGACAACTCGTCCCAGAGACAACTCGGACCGCTTGTCAGATTTACTTAGGGTTTCATAAAATGTTAGACTAACATGTCTAGCGGAGCCATCAATCTTTCGTTTGTGCCTTGGGGTCTATTTAGGGGTATTTTGAGGGGCCTTAAGAAGGGAGGAGTTTACTATAGAACCCTATGGGATTTTATTTTTTTTCAATTTTCAAATGACTATTACTTGAAAATAGTAAGTGATAGACGCACACGGTCTTCAGTAATAATAACAGGACAATAGAACAAATCAAATAAAATATAGGGTGAGTCCCTGGGGGTCATCCCACCCCCTTCAATTCGAAAATGTGCTTTTTTCTTGTAAACGGTCGCGATCCCCACCCCTAAACCATATATATACTTGTGTTGGGACAATAAAACAAATCAAATGAAAATTTGGGGGAATCCCCAGCGTCACCCCATCCCCTTATGTTTGAGAACTTGTAAAACGGTCGAGATCCCCACCCTACTGCATATGTATTCTTGTATGGAACAGTAAAACAAATCAAATGAAAGATAGGGGAGTCCACAGGGGTCACCCCCTTGTTTTTTGAAAACTTGTAAACGGTCGAGATCCCCACCCCTAAACAGTATATATTCATGTATGGGACAAGATAACAAATCAAATGAAATATAAAGAGAGTCCCTGTGGTCACCCCCACCCCCTTCTTTTTGAAAACTTGTAAACGGTTGAAATCCCCACCCGTAAACCATATATATTCATTTATGGGACAAGATAACAAATCAAATGAAATATAGGGGAGTTCCTGGGGTCACCCCTACCCCCTTATTTTTGAAAACTTGTAAACGGTCGAGATCCCCACCCCTAAACCATATATATTCATTTATGGGACCAGAAAACAAATCAAATGAATTATAGGGGGAGTCCACGGGGGTCACCCCACACCCCCACATTTTTGAAAACTTGTAAACGGTTGAGATCCCCACCCCGAAACCATATATATTCTTGTATGGGACAATAAAACAAATCGAATGAAATACAGGGTAAGTCCCCTGGGGATAACCCCCCCTTTCCCCTTTTTGAGAACTTGTAAACCGGGTGAGATACCCAACCCTAAACCATATTTATTCTTCCTGTTCGTCATTTCAAGAAGATTTGAATGATATACAGGGTCAATCTCCTAGGGGTCACATATGCATATCACTTTACTAGACCTAACCAATTTGTACTGGACTTTGCCCAATGTCAGGCGACCATGGGAATGAAGAATTATGGGAGCTCTGTTTGGAAGACTTTGTAACATCATCCTGTTACAATTATTTCTTGTTTCTTATAAAATTTAACTGATGCAAAAATAAGTCTAGGCTAATTGAATTTACTTTACTTATTTTTTTAATTATTTCTGGGCCTATGAAAATTTTTATTTATGGCTCATTTTAAAGAAAACATATAAATCTTTCAAGCAGTGTAAAGCCCAAGAATATTTGACCAAATGTTTTATAATCACCTGTCATTTTACTCCAAACTTGGGATGGAGTGACATCATGGACTTGGTGAAGGTAAGGATCATTTACATTTACTATGGGCAGGTCAATCAGACCTCACCTTTGATCCCTGTAGTAGTAAACCTTTGGCTGATTTGTGTCTCAAAACTTTTGTACTGTAGAACCCAAACGCAGTGTTACTGCCAGGGAAGCAAGTCCATTCATACTATTACAAACTCGTACTACGTCAACTTGTACCACTAAAAGTCAACTGGTACCAACGTTAACTACCAAACTAGAACAACTGCAATCATTGCGAACTTGTACCATTGCAAACTCATCATTAAAAATATACATTGATATATGCATTGCTTTTGAGAACCTTGATAAAATATTAATTAATTTGCCTTAATAATCAATTCATTAAATAAACATACATGTACAATATACGAATGTTTAATGTTATTCTTTCAAATCTTAAAAAAAAAATGAAGCAACACTGCCACAGTTTTCATAATTATTTTTGCTTTGGTTTTTGGTTAACTGCCTATAGCGCTTACAGTGCTTTGATTTTTAATGCTCGGGTGGCACATTGATAGTAAAAAAAATATCAGAAATAGTAAATAGAAATAGTAAAAAATGCCCCCGAGGTCATATGTTATAGGACTAATCTTTGTCAACTTTCTGTCTCATACAGAATCTTTTGAGCTCGACTTTATGGAACCAATTTCATTGGTTAAACAATTCAAAAAGCAGTTTGAAGTATGTCATATTTTCTATAAATCGTTGTGAAGAAGACAAAGATTAAAACCGTGAATATATGGATACCTGTAAACATGATGCCTGTACAGAGAAAGAACTCATTTAAAATGTAAATGGATAGCGGCCATGCCAAATCAATGAGAAGCAACCCAAAATACACAAAGATGTAGAGAAAATGAATGATTAGCTTGAAAAATAAATATACTCTCTCTATATTAAATCGATCTTCGATTGCAATGAGTATGCTCCTTTAGGATAAGGGGGGCTGCCCCACTCATTGCAACTATTCTCTTTCTTACAATATTAAATATACCCAAACTTTGTGGCCTGTCACTGTGTGAATTGAATTTAAAGCATGTTCTTAGGACCTATGCTGCCAATTTTTTTATGCTGTCAAAACATTTCAGTACAGAACATTTACTTTAATGGGGTGCTATGGATTTCACCACAAACTAGTAAGTTTTCTTTGGTTTTCATTTAAGTCTGGCATCAACATATCTTTCAAAATATAATCGTATTGCATATAATTAAATATTGTTAGAAATATGAAAACAGTCTGCCCTTTTTTCAATTGAGGAAGATTCAATGGCTGATTTTTTTTTTATTAAAAATACACTCTTTAATACATTGTCTTATAAATCTTCAATATCTACATTTTTCTGATGAAAATACTCTACTCATGAAAACTTTCTAGTCAAGAAGCATATATGTCATTGAATATATTTCTTTAAAACAGTTCTAGTCATTCCTTGTCTACAAGTGTTTCAGTATTCAATAATACCATATTTTATATCATAAATTGAATTAAAGTTTTAGTTGAAAAGATTTTTTTTATCTGACAATGCCTGTTCATTTCATGTTGGTTTTTAAAATAGGTTTTTTTTTTCTTAACAAGAAACTTGGTTTGTGTAACTGCTTGTTTAAACTTTTTGGCTGATAAAATAAAATATTTTTCCTACCTACCGACCCTTCAGTCTGAAGGTACAGTCGGGAAACTGCAAACAAACATATTTTTAAGGTTAGCCTCATTGTGAACTTTCAATTTTTATCTAGTAGCATTATAACAGCACTTTTATATGAAATTTATTTCTCTTCTATTTGCTGTTTCTATTCCAAACAAGGTGATTAAGAATAAACACATGACTGGTCAGCTTAGGAATGCCACATCCTCTTGTAGACTTGCTTACAGTCACACATTCACAATTCTGATTTCCATGTCTAACACAAAGCAGGGTTAACTCAAAGGACGTTACTTTGAACATGACATTATCCTGAGTGTACATGGAATATCAGTTTATCAATCAAGCAACACAGGGTTAACTTAAAGGGAGTTACCTTGATTATGATATTATCCTGAGTGTACATGGAATATCAGTTAATCAATCAAGCAAAGCAGGGTTAACTCAAAGGGCGTTACCTTGATTATGATATTATCCTGAGTGTACATGGAATATCAGTTAATCAATCAAGCAAAGCAGGGTTAACTCAAAGGACTTTACCTTGATTATGATATTATCCTGAGTGTACATGGAATATCAGTCAATCAATCAAGCAAAGAAGCAATTTTAACATTATTCTGTTGATTGTGCAAATATTCCACATTAATTAAATGTATAGCTTAATTGCTTAAAGGAAAAAAAAGACAAGACAGGACATTAATTTCTCTTAAATGTTTATCATTTTGATATCTTTTCTTAGGAACAGATGACGATTCTGCTGAAGAGGATGGTCAGCCATCTACACCCCAACCTCGTAACATAAGATCATCATCAGCTTGTAAACCAGAGAAGACGCCAGCAGGCCGAGGGACTCCAGGAAGAGGGAGAGGTAGAGGGAGGGGTAGGGGGCGTGGAAGAAGAGCTAGTCATAGTAGAAGTGAATCAGAATCTGAACCCCCTTTACCGAGACATTTAGGTAAAGCAGGAATGTGGATATTATCTTAAGTTTATCATATTAAAGTTTAATACTCCCTACGGTTGTTTGCAAACAACTGTTAAAAATATCAAACAGCTGTAATAAAATAACAAAAAAAAAGGATTGCAAAAAACTTGAAGTTCATAAAGTTGATCATAAGAGTATTGCTTGTGGGAAAAAATTTCAATCTTAAAAGAAATAATGAAAAATGGTGACTCCCTTAAAAGAAAGAGGTCTTCAACCAGAGTGAGAGATATAAACAATGTAGTTTATCTTTTAAAAGTTATTAAATATTTTGTAACAAAACAGCAAGTTCTATAGGTTCTGCTATCATTCCAATGAGTCCAAAACTGAACAGTAAAATTAGGTCATCACTTTTTTCCATAGCTGCAATAAGGTTCAAACAATACATATAAACAAAATTTTAGGCCCAGAAAAATGAAATTGGTCCTAATTTAATAAATATTAATTATTACATCATTGCAATTTATTACCTTGGAGTGTGTATATTTCAGAAAAAAGACGATCATCTGATAGTTCGCGTACAACAGAATCATCAACTTCATCTACAAAAACTGAGGAAAGTGGCTCATCATTAACAACACCATCAGGTGTAAATAGACGAACTAAGGTGTTATTCAGCAAAAAAGGTTTTAATTCAAAAAACAATTCACGGTGTTCTAGTCCAGTTACCACACCTAATACACCACCTATCAGTACTCCTACAACTAGGAAGCCAGGCAGGCCACCGAAATCCAAACAAACTAATACAGAGTCAACAGAATCCCCTCAACCGCCTGTACTAGAACCAATGAATATAACGTCTCCAAGGCTGAGAGGTCCAGGTAGTCCTGCAGCCAGAAAGAGATCTGCTAGTGCTATAGCCTCTCCTGATCGAGATTTACGACCGTCTCCACCTAAACGAACTAGTTCTATGGTTGAACCTTTATCTCAATTTGCTGATCCTCCTGATTTAACAAAAAAAGACAGTTTCATGAGATATCGAGGACCAGATAATTTAAGAAGTTCTTCGGAATCTGAAAGTTCATCTGTGATAAGTTCAAGTGATGATTCATTATCGGAAAGTTCAAGTGGTTCATCCAGTAGCAATAGTAGATCAGGTAAGACTCCAGGCTTTGCTGTCATTAGTGATGGTAACTAGATTTAGGAAAAAGAACCATACTATTTGAACTAAACTGTAGAAAAATTGTATCAAATATTTGAATTGGAATACCTATGGGTCTAATATATTTGGTACAAGTGGAATTGTCTGTTAAATAGGTTTTTATTGACTGATGATGACATTTTCACAGATGAAGGACTTGAATTTTAATTTACATAAAGTATAGCTGAATTTAAGAAATATCATTTATTGCTGTAACAGGTAGCAACTAAACTGTATTATTATACTGATTTTTTTTATCTTAATAGATAGTATACACCTGCAAATCTTTAATTGTACTATGCTATTCCTCTGTGATTTTCATTCAATCTTAAAACTATCCTGCACACATCTCCAAGAAATGTTTGGTACAAGTTTTGAATTACAGTTTTAGAGTTTTGTACTATTTTATATCCTAGAACCAGTGTTTATAACTGCATACATGTACTAAGTTTTGTACTTGGAAGCACTTTTTGTATAATGGGCATTTTGCTTTGAATAATGCACAAAGCTATTATTTTGTTTGGCTAGCTTTTTTGAACACTTAATTTTTGCTTGCTTTTTGTATATCTAATGAACCTTCAACTTCATAAGTTCTTAATGAGCTTCCCATATGTAAACCTGTTCTCTTTTCAATATATTATTTTATGTTTTTGAAACTAAGATGGAGTCTTTTGGTAAAACTGTTGTCAAGTTGTTATTAAATATTCAATATGATATTTTTTCTCATTTTCATTTGTTTAATTCATAACTTAATACTGTACAATATTGACAGTTTCTGAACGGTTGATTTTGGTGTCTGCATATTCAGCATGTTCAATTAAATGAAAAGACAAACAAAATCCTGTCATTACTCACATATGTGGTCGTCTCTCATGATATTACTGAGGACAGATACAATATAAAGTAATTGTGATTTGGAATTCTAATTATTTATGTAAGTGATCTGTAGCTATCTCTGGACAAAGTTATTTTTCCATTGCTTTAAATCATTTTTATCATGAAAAAAACATGGAATATTGAAAAATAATGTTGCAGACATCACTTTCATCGATCATTTTTATCTCAAACCAGATATTGGTAGTGAAAAAGATTGAATTTTACAATGCCAATATATTATTAAGCTAAAATTCTAAAGTATTTTATACTATAGGTTTATTGCACACATTTTATTCATAGAACTGTAATTCACAGTAGATTTTTTTAGTTTGAAAAAATTGATACACATAGTGCTTTTAGAAATAAATCTAAAGTCTAATATAAATTAATATACTTGAATTAAATGTTAATTATAACTTATAAAGTGCTCGGGAGAAGTTGAAGAATCATTAAAATTTAATTGTTGCCTGATTGATGCTTGATGGCTGCTTTATTTTTGTTTATACGTGGATAGATCAAAATTCAAATGGCTTACCAAAGTTGTCTGAGGATGGTGGCACAGAAAGTGATGGATCTAATTCTCCAAGCTCAGCTAGATATGGTAAGAGATTTTTTGGATAGAGTTTTCTTGGTGTGATTCTTGGTGAAAAGCATAAATGCTATCATCATTGTCAATTCACGTCATTAATTCATCATGTTTTTTAAAGATATAGGTGATCATCATTTAATAAGGTAAATCATAAGGGTGCCATGTCTGGTTTTTTTAGATATAAGTCTAAAAGTTAAGTCATAATGTAACAGATAGGGGGAGATTAAATCATTAACACATTTTTCAATATTTCATTGCTTGTACTATCCACACCTTAAAACAAAGACATCATAATCTGTTTGTAGATTGCTTTGCATGGGTTTTTTAGTTGTTTAACCAGCATTTTTCCTGAGTAGACATTTATTTTCTAAATATATCATGCAATACTGTAAATTTTTTATCGCCAGAATTTCGTTGCAGAATGTGATACATAGGGATGACAATCCCGCAGCGGCGGAACTATTTATATGAAGCTTTATATTTCAGCAGGTAGAAGACCTGGATGCTTCATTGTTTGTATACAGATGCCTTATGTTAAGAAGTTTCAGTTTTTCATTTGTCCATTTTCTGTGACCTCATTTTCATGGTTCAGCGACTGCATAATAAAATGTGTAGTTTTTTTTTGTCATTTGAATTTCTCACTTATTATGAGTAATAGGATAACTATATTTGGTATATATATATGGGTTCCTTGCAAGGTCTACATGTCTGTAAAACAAGGTTCACTTGACCTCGACCTCATTTCATGGATCAGTGATTAGATCCCTTTCTCAGATACTAAGTAATAGATCAACTATATGTGGTGTATGTAATTATTGTGAGGTGTACATACATGTCAGTCTGGAAGTTTCATCTGACCTTGACCTCATTTTCATAGTTCATTGGTCAGTGATAAGTTTTTATGTTTTGGTCTGTTTCTTAAATATTATAAAGAATAGGTACATGTCTGTGATGCAGCTGTTTTCATACCTTGACCTTATTTTCATGGATCATTGATAATGTATAGTTTATGTGATACTTGTAGTGAAAACTTCTTTACGACTTTCAACATGAAATCAATTATGGTCAGTAAAGCAGGCCAGACATTTCATCGGTGCACTCTTGTTATATTGTATAGATTATTAATAGATGAATTGTTGCTTCAAATTACATGTACTTAAAGAAAAGTCTACATATGAAGAAAAAAAAAACAATTGCTTGAATGTAGCATTTTTTTTATTCGCATGTTTTGCTTTTAATGTTGCTCTAAATTTTGATTAAGTATTTAAAATGTTAACGAACATTGTACAAGTTGTAGATGCATTAATTAATTATCAATCAGAACATTGATATACTGTATTGTATTTACTAGTTAGTGTGCAACTGATTTTTCTCATCACTTGGCGTCCGTCGTGGTTAACCTTTACAAAAATCTTCTTCTCTGAAACTACAGATCCAAATTCAACCAAACTTGGACACAATCATCATTAGGGTATTTAGTTAAAAAATGTGTCCAATGACCCTGCCTGCCAACCAAGATGGCCGACATGGCTAAAAATAGAACATAGTGGTAAAATGTAAGTTTTGTCTATTATCTTGAAAACCACTATAAATAGAGAAAAAAATCTGACAAGGGCAGAAATGTTTGGAATTATGAGATCTACCTATTGTCCATTTATTTTTAAACTGTCAGATGACTTTTTATAGGAGTTATTGCCCTTAAATGATGAATTTTACCAACTTTTTAAAATTTTTGCCTATTATCTTAAAAATCATAATAGATAGAGGGAAACTGTATATAGCAAAATTGATCAGCAAGATAAGTTCTACAAAGAAGTCAACACGGTTGAAATCGTCTGATGACACCTTATTGGAGTTTTTGCCCTTTAAAGATGATTTTTACTAATGTTTTGTGTTTTTGTCTAATATCTGAAAAAGTATAATAGATAGAAACTTAAATAGGCAAAAATGATCAGCAAGACAAGATCTACAAATAAGTTGAATAGTTGAAATCTTCAGACAACCCCTTATTTGAGTTATTGCCCATTAATGGTGGTTCTGACCAATTTTTTGCGTTTTTGCCTTATATCTGAAAAACTGAAATAGATAGATAGAAACTTAGATTAGCAAAAATGATGAGTAAGACTTAATCTACAAATTAGTCGACATGGTTTAAATTGTCTGATGACCCCTTATTGAAGTAGTTCTCTTTAATAACAATTTTTATCATTTTTTTGCGTTGTTGCCAACTATATGAAAAAAAACTATATTAGATAGATAGAAACTTAAATATGCAAACATGATCAGCAAGACAGGATCAACAAAGAAGAGATTTTTGTCATGAAATCTAGTCCACAAAGATGGAGAGTAACCATTGTTCAAGATGCACATAGACCTAGGTGAGCAACACAGACTCTTTAGAGTCTCTAGTTTTTTTTTTAAATACAACTCATATTTTTAAACTGAAATTATACAGATAAATAGATTAAAATAATTAATCAAGGTTTTTTTGTGGAATATATATGTATATGTATGTGCCTAATATTGCTGATTAAATATGAAATGATGATGTGTATAAATATATAACATTTACACTTACAATACATTGCATGAATTTAGTAACATAATATCATGTGTGTCCTAATATACTGAATGAGTTATAATATAACCTCAATGATTCTGTGTAAAGTTTTCAGATAGAAATACAAATTGTTTCTTTAAATTAGGTAAAGGATTGTTTTTAATTCAAAAGATAAAACATAAACAAGGTTAAAAGCTAGGTCAGTTAGTTTGCAAATTTGACTGGTAACTTAGATTGGTCTTCAAGTCAAACAAAATACCAAATTTTCTGTCAATTTTACTATTTGTTCCAATTTGGAGTTAATTTTTTTGGAAGAATTTCTGATAATTAGGAGTTTATTTACTTCCTTTGCTAGAAATTGTTGACATTACAAATCATTATGGTTATTTATATATCCTTTTAGTTTTTGAATTAGTATAGAAACCATATGTGTATATGATTGCTAACACAATGACTATGTATATTGATAACCAGCACCTTGTTTCATTTTCTCCTTGCAGTGCTTTCCCAAGCTAGTGATAGACAGCTGTTACCAGAAGATATCAAATAATCCGAAATTTATGCCAGCAAAATGTTTGATAGAAATTTAATAAAAGTGATATTTTCTATGAGCAAGCTGGCTGATCCTTCAATAAGAAAATCTCCTTGTTAGTGCTCTTGTCATTTGTGCAATCAGTTTTGTGTCATTTATTATAAAATGGCTTATTTGGTGCTGTTTTTTTTTTATATAAAAAATTTATGTATGAATATTAAAATCAGAGCACCCAAACTTGGATGTTTTCTTTGTAAATGGGAAATCACTGCTTTGCAAATGTATATTTTATAATATAAATTCAGGGAGAAATATTTTTATTTATCTTTGTTGATGTTCTTTTTATAATGTTTGAATTAATTTGTTTCATTTGATAAAAGCAGTGATTAAAATTGTTGAATGTATTTCTCCTTGTGTGGTACTAATTGTAGCAACCATTATAACCTCAGCTTCAAAGGCAGTTGGTGAATCTAGCTTGCATGAATGTTTAACTTTCCCTGCATGCACAAATAGAACCAGCCAGCATGTTAAGCTTGCTTGTGAAGCAGAATATGCAGAAATTTTTCTTTCGGATGATAAGAACTTGTGTCTGAAAAACAATAAAATTAAAAAAGTTGTGAATTCATCTGAACCTTTTGTTAGAATAAATCGAAGTCATGTGGCAAAAATTTCTTCTGTCATGCCTATGGTCCAGCAAAAAAGAAATAAATCTGCACAAGAAACAGAAATGAAGCACTGTGAATCAACTTATGTATTGAGACATAAAATCAACAGCGTTACAGAAATGTTGGAATGTCTCCGTGATGACAGAAATGAGATAGGTATAGACATACTTTGGCATGCTTTTACTCAGGTTGTTAGCTTGTGTTTTGTTTGTTGTGGGTTTTAAACTTTTTAATTGAACTTTGTTGATCAAAGTATTAAAATATTCTGTACTAATTATTTATATTTAAGAGAGAGAAAGATGGTTTTAAGTTGAATACAAAAATACAGATTATTTGAAAGCAGTTATTTTACTGTACAGTGTAGCTGACATTTTTTATTGTTGATGTTTTTATATCCTATTTCCAAATAAAAATTCTGAAAATAATATGAAACTTTTAGTTATTATAAATATAGAATTTTTAAATAGGAAGTCCATGAATTCTGACAAATTATTATTATCATTTATTGAAAAGAAAGGTCATCAAATGCATAGATCATTACAAGCACTCATTTCATCAATATATTGTAAAATGGAAATTTATGCTACTTTTTATTATTGTGACATTTGTGAGAGAATTTCTATCACATTAATCAAAAGTTATGTTTTAAATTTTGATTGAACTATTTGTATGCAGCAGGATTTCCTGGAATTGTATGGAATAATCTCACATTTTTGTAACAATGATAAATGCAAACAATAATTTCTAAATTTATAGTATATGACCATGCATCAGAACTTCAAAACTCAAACATGTAATGCAAATTCTCAGGGTTAGAAAAAAGAAATTGCCCACTTGCTAGCAATAACAAGATGGAAATTTGCATACATGTAGCCTGTCAAATTCAGAAGTACTTGCCGATAAGGCATATTAAATTACTGCAACATGTTTGATTTCCTTGATTTCTGTTGTATAAATATTAACAAAAATACCCTGTCATTCATTTGTATGTTTCCAATGCAATAAGAAATTGCATAACAGCATGTTATTGCATGTTAAATGTTAATACAGTAACGATATTTATTGCATGACTTGCTAATGATTTTACATGTGATCAACCTGTAACTCCAGTAATCTAAGTATGTTTTGTATCTTTGTAGTAGCAGTCACATGTTTCAGAGGTTGTCTCCCTGGAAATTACTTTTTTCTTGCATTCAGACCATCAATCACTGTATAAAGATGCATAATGCAAATTTTATGTAACCTTTAAGATTATGTTTTTACCTTGATAGTTGTTTAAAGGTTTTCACTTGTCTTTTCAGAAATTGTATTAAACCAGTACTGTTCCATTTCAGTGCTTAAGTAGTAATTGTACTCGTATACTGCAGGTGAGAGCTGGTTAGCTATGCTATTATTTCAAGTGTGATGCAGGAAGTTGTTTTGGAAGTACCAGAAGAATGTCACTTTGATTTTTTCTTTGTTCCTCATTCTGTTGATGACAAGACAATAGTTGGAAATATCTATCTTCAAAGGATACCATTATAATCTAGACTGAAGTATTAGGACTCTTTATTTGTTTGATATTAGGATTTGGTAAAATAAATTCATTTCCATTTTCTTAATAATTATTTTTTTCTTCAGGAAGGGCAAGAAGAAGTACAAGCTGTGATTCAGAAGAACTGATACCATTAGAGCCTCTTGATTTGGTTTGGGCAAAATGTAGAGGCTACCCATGGTACCCTGCTCTTGTAAGTTATTTTCAAATATTTTTTTGGCTTTGTTTGAAAAAACAAAAACCAGCTAAAAGTAAGTATGTTGATTTTGGGAGGCAGGTGGGGAAAAGTGGTTAATTTATTTGTCTAATCGACTCCTCCTACAGTTTTCAACCCAAATCCCTGCTATTATGGAATTGTTTGAGGAATTTTCCCATTTTTTCCAGACTTTAGAACTTAATCATTTTTCAGTAAAATGTACATAAGATGGTACCATATTGTGCAGTTTTCAACTCATATCTTCACAGAAAGATTGCACACCTGTCTAAAGTTAGGAAAATTTATATGTTGCTGTGGCCTTATAAGGTTTTGTGTTGTAGGGTTGCTGTGATATTGATTTAATCCTGATCTCTACTTATGTTTTTTTAACAGATAATAAATCCCAAAATGCCTAAGACTGGTTATTTCCATAATGGAGTTCCTATTCCAGTCCCACCAGAGGATGTTTTACTTCTTCAGAGAAAATATGATGAACATGTCTACCTCATCCTCTTCTTTGATACAAAACGTACATGGTAGGTAACTATATAACACTGCATAACACACAGGATGGTATATGATAAGATGGCAAACTGTCAACATAACACAAGGTACATAGTAGGTACTATTGGAAACTATCAGTTTGAGTTGGTCTGTGGAGAGCAGAATGAGAGAATTGATAAAACATTAATATAGTTGACTTTATTGTGTATTTCAACAGTTATTACATACCTTTTGGTTGTCCTCTGTAACCTAAAGTAGCTCTTTCTGTTTTGGACAGGTCTGTATGGTCAATGATGAGGCCATAGCGGAGGGGGCATTAAGTTTTACCCTTGTCCGTCTGTACGTACGTACGTTCTTCCAAAAATTGGTTTCCGTTCTCTAACTTTAGTTTGCCTCAACCAAATGTTATGAATCTTATACTGAATGCTTATTACCACAAAACACATATCAAGTTTGAATTTTGGTGGCTTCACTTTTACCGTTCTAGAGTAATGCCCCTTTACAAATGGAAAAATTGCAAAATTTTTATTTTTTTCTAAAAATCAAGTAATTTTTAAAATTGGAGTTATCTTCCTTTGTCCATGATTATAGTTGAATCATCTTAAATCAATGCTTTATACAATGCAATGTTTAATTTTGACTTCCAATGATAAAACACAGATCAAGTTGAATTTGGGTAGTGTCACTTTAACCATTATTTTGTGGTAATAAGCATTGTAAGTCTCATAACATTTGGTTGAGGCTAACTTATAAATCGAAAGATTGCAAAATTTTTAGTTTCCATTCTGTAACTTAAGTTTGCCCCAACCAAGCATTAATTATGAAACCTATACACAATATTCATTACCACAAAACTAAGATCAAGTACAAATTTTTTGTTTCCGTTTTCTAACTTTAGTTTGCCTCAACCAAATGTTATGAAACTTATACACAATGCTAATTACTACATAATACAGATTAAGTAGGAAATTTGGTGGCGACGCTTTTACCGTTCTTGAGGTATGTCCCTTTATAAACATAAAAATTGCTGAATTCATTTCTGTTCTCTAACTTTAGTTTGTCTCAACCAAATGTTAAATAACTTATACACAACCGTTCTTGAGTTATGTGCCTTTACAAATAGAAAAATTGCTGAATTAGTTTCTGTTCTCTACTTAAGTTAGCCTCAACCAAATGTTATGAGACTTACAATGCTTATTACCACAAAACTCAGATCAAGTTCAAATTTGGGTAGCGTCACTTTTACCGTTCTTCAGTTATGTCCCTTTATATCTATATGATATGCAAGCGGGGTATCATCTGTGGACACTATCCACATTTATTTAAATTAAGTTGCTTAGTAAGAAATATATTTGTCTCTCTCTTTTAATTTGATACAAATTGATTTCGTATTTTACGTTTGAGTGCATGCACAGTACATAGAAAAGAAAGCACCTGTTTGACTCGTGAAAATATTTCTGAACGTTTTGAATAAAGGTCTATCTTTTTAATTGAAATTGCCGATAGTTTTTGATGAAAAGTGATATCAAATATGACGAAAATACTATTCATGTGACGAAACTACGACAAACAAACTGCAAATTGTGATTGTTTGAGTAAATATTGAAATTTAAATGAGAACTGTCCAGGGATAAACAATATTGTTCAAATGACGAAACTACGATAAACGAACTGCAAATTGTGGTGGTTTCAAAAATATTGAAATTGTAATGCCGATTGACTGATTTTACTGGGAAAAATAATTATGATGGTCAATTAACGGATTAGTGACCCATCTGATGGCAATAAGTGGATTACCTGTAATCACAAATTTTTATACGACCGCAAAAAAATTTTGTGGTCGTATATTGGTATGACGTTGGCGTCGGCGTCGTCGTCGTCCGGCGTTCTTGTCCGAAGACACATTGGTTTTCGCACTCTAACTTTAGTTTAAGTGAATGGATCTTTTTGAAATTTTACCATAAGGTTAAATACCACAAAAGGAAGGTTGGGATTGATTTTGGGGGTTATGGTACCAACAGTTTAGGAATTGGGGGCCAAAAACAAGCATTTTTCTAGTTTCCGGACAATAACTTGTGTTAAAGTTTATGGAACTCGCTGAAATTGTACATTTTTCCTGAAAAGAAAATATCTTCAAAATTTCAAAAAAAAATTGGGGGGGGGACAAATTTTGGGGGAATTTTTTTTTTTCATGATATTTTGGTTTTTTTTTCCCAAAATTTTTCCATTTTTCCATTGATTATTTCTGATTTACATATAAAAGCAACAAATACTGATATGACAGGAGATACACACCAAACAGGGTGTGTAAATTATTTTATTCTATACTTAGTAGTAAATACAGATAAATTGTATGTGTAATACAATCATTGGCAAGCGTGCTGTATCAGCCACCCGTGATGATATCGATATCAGCACGGTTGCAAAGGCTTTATCACACCTTTAATCTGTATGAGGTCACGTCATCGATTGCAGTCACTGTTGCAAAGGCTTTATCAAACCCCTAATCTGTATGACGTCATGTCAAACCTATAATCTGTATGACGTTATTTCAAACCTCCTTACCTGTATGACGTCATGTCACATAAAAAACATCTACGTGAGGTATATGTATATAATAAAGTGAATATGATATGGCTTTTTCAATATCACACACCGTATCAACCCTCAACCAATATAATCCCTCAAGCAGAGCTCTTGGGATTATATTGGTGTTTCGGGTTGATACAGATGTGATATTGAAAAAGCCATATGATATTCTCTATATAAATAAAAGATTAACTAAGCATTGTGCAACAGCACAGTATTGCGCAATAGTAAGAATCTTCAATTGAAAATAAATACAAATCTTGTAACCAATTTCAATAGGATTAATTTAAGTCTTTAATTTTTGGGGTTCTAACCTTGTATTACTATTTTGGATATTGGGCCCGATTTTTGAATTGGTCTACATTGAGGTCCAAAGGATCCAAAATTAAAGTTTATTAGATTTCATCAAAAACTGAATTATTGCGGCTCTATGATATGCTGAATCTTATTGTGCATTTTGATTTTTATACGACCGCAAAAACATTTTGCGGTCGTATATTGGTATGACGTCGGCATCGTCGTCCGAAGACACATAAGTTTTCGCACTCTAACTTTAGTTTAAGTGAATGGATCTCTATGAAACTTTACCATAAGGTTCAATACCACTAAAGGAAGGTTGGGATTGATTTTGGGGGTTATGGTACCAACAGTTAAGGAATTAGGGGCCAAAAAAGGGCCAAAAATAAGCATTTTTGTAACTTCCAGACATAACTTGTGTGTTAGTGTATGGATCTCTCTGACATTGTACCACAAGGTTCCATATCACAAAGGGAATGCTGGGATTGATTTGGGGGGTAATTGCCTCAAAATTTTAGGAATTAGGGGCCAAAAAAGGGGCAAAAAACAAGCATTTTTCTAGTTTCATGATAATAACTTGTGTGTAAGTGTATGGATCTTTCTGAAATATTACTGCAAGATTCCATATCACAAAGGGAAAGCTGGAATTGAGTTTGGGGGTAATTGCCCAAAACGTTTAGGGATTAGGGGCCAAAAATAAGCATTTTTCTAGTTTCCAGACAATAACTTGTGTTCAAGTGTATGGATCTCTCTGAAATTGTACTGCAAGGTACCATACCACAAAGGGAAGGCTGGAATTGATTTTGGGGGTAATTGCCTCAAAATTTTAGGAATTAGGGGCCAAAAAGGGGCAAAAAACAAGCATTTTTCTAGTTTCAATAACTTGTGTGTAAGTGTATGGATCTTTATGAAATTGTACTACAAGGTTCCATATCACAAAGGGAAAGCTGGGTTTGAGTTTGTTGGTAATTGCCCTAAATGTTTAGGAATATGGGGCCAAAAAGGGGCCTTAAACAAGCATTTTTCTAGAATCCAGACAATAACTTGTGTTCAAGTGTATTGATCTCTCTGAAATTGTACTGCAAGGTACCATACCACAAAGGGAAGGCTGGGGGTGATTAATTGTAAGGGGGTTCAAAAAAATTTGGGGGAGGGATTTTTTTTTTTTTTTTAATTTTCCATTTTAAATTGGTTATTTCTGATTTATATATAAAAGCAAATAATAATGATATGGTTTGAATAGGTGAATTAAAAAATTTTAAGTTCTTAGACCACATTCATTCTGTGTCAGAAACCTATGCTGTGTCAAATATTTAATCACAATCCAAATTCAGTGCTGTATCAAGCTGCGCCCAGCGGAGCATTTTATTTATTTTAACCCTGTTTTCAAATAAGTCCATATTAAGGTTTGAAGGGTCCAAAATTAAGCTTTGTTTGATTTCAACTAAAATTAAATTTTTGGTGTTTTTTTATATGCTGAATTTAACCTTGTTGTTAGATTTTGGATATCAGACCATACTAGGTAAATCAAATGTCCCATTTCAAATTAAGATCTTTGACCACATTTATTTTGTGTCGAAACCTATATTATGTAAAAAATTTGATCACAATCCAAATTCAGACAGTATCAAGCTTGAATATTGTGTCCAAACTTGCCCCACCTGTTCAGGGTTAGACCTCTGCTGTCGATTCAGGCTGCGCTGTGGCGAAGCATGTTATTTAGGGTCGGCAGGGATAAAAAAAACATGATACTACAATTTTATTTTTGTCTGAAAATCTTGTCTTCAACCAACTTATTTTAAAAATCCTTGCCTAATTAGAAATTAAACATCACTAGAAGGAATAAAAGATTGTAGTATGCTGATTTAATCATTAAAACAACCATTGGATAAAAATTATATGGCTAGTGGACTTGTATCATTTAATGTTTTTTTTAAATTTTAGGCAGTGGCTTCCAAGAAACAAGTTAGAACCTTTAGGTGTAGACTCTGGCTTAGACAAAGCCAAGTTATTAGAAAACAGAAAACCAAATGTGAGGAAGGCTGTGCAACGGGCTTATGAGAAAGCTATTTTACATCGGTGTAGTGTGACAGGAGAACCAAACCCTCTCTCTGGAGACTCAGAAATTGATGAAATTGAATGAAATCCCTATTTTCTTACTCTTGCTGTTCCTAACCTTTTCACTGACCAAATCATTCACTTTTTTAGATAAATTATCTATCATTATTTTCTTGTTCAATGATAACTGTGTTAGAAATGTCTCAATTTCTGCATAAAAACCTGTAGTTACATTTATTTATCATAAATCCCAGGATGGATATTTTTTTATTAAAAGCAGGTTGATTGTACTTGCAGTATTTTCTGCAGTATATGTAGGAAGTGATTTTTTTGTAAAACATGTCAGTGTTTTCCTTAGAAGCTGGTAAATAGCCTTCAACTTCATGATTTTGACAGTGTGAATTAATAAAAGTAAACTTTTAATACTTCACTATTAATGCCCTGTCTTCTGCTTTGTTAAATCAGCCTGCTTCTTATATTTAGGGAAAACAGTGCATGTAAAAGATGTTTTCCATAATGTCTCACAGATTCTCTCACTGAAAAGATATGTGTAAAAATACATGTATGTTGTAAAACAGCTTTTGACTGTATTTCAGCAGTTTGTTGAAAGTTAAATCTGAAAGTACACAGGTACATAAGTACATAAGTTATGAAATTTAAAAAAAGTTGATAGTTCTCAAGATTCAAATGCTCTATTATAAACTATTAGGTAAATATAAAATTACACAGCATATTTAAAACAGTTAAAAAAAAAATCAAAAATCCACTTTGTTAAGTAACATTGTGCATCTTCAGAATGGCAGCATATGTTAGAAGGTTGATACAATTTTTAGAAATTGGAAAATTTTTAATTTTGAAGACTTTCGTACTATTTGATTGTATACTTAAAATAATTAATTGTATACAAAAAGTTACAAATTGTGTAAGTGGTTATTTTTGAAGAGTTTGAACTTTTAAATTGTTTTAAATGTTGAGATGTTTCCTATGTGTATATGTTTTAATGTTAGTGTTGTTAGGTACCAGGGTGATATAAGCCTTTGTTTTTATATACTGTTAGATTTTATGGTATATATTTATTGTCAAGTTTAAATACTCTTTTTTTTTATGAAAGCTGACACTGTCATACTTATAGTACAGTATGGAAAGACTCATGTGTTTATGTTTTTGAGAAATTTGAATATCTGTATATTGGATGAAATTTTGCAAGAGTGCTATTATTTATGCAATTTTTGTACAGATGTTATTCTCATTTAACTTATCAATAATTAGTCCTCGTGTGATACTGATAACTTAACTGTGATAGTATCCTTTAGGGAAAAAATGAATTCAGTTACAAAAGAATATTTAAAAACTTTGGATATAGAAAACTGTACTGATAAAAAGCAGCAGGGTAGATGTGACTTCAGTTTAAAAACAAAATGGGAAATGTAAGCAATTTTTGATATGTTTTTATTCTAAGCTAACTAAAACATATATTAAAAACTGGGAAATGTTGTAAACTCACATATTGTGCTTGTCGCTACCGGTACTTGAATAAATGTTACATTGTTGAATTAATTTAAGTGTGCAATTTAGTCCATATATCTATTGAGATAATAGTAGTATTTCAAAGTGATAATAATAAAAAGGACTATTTTGCATTAATTAATTTTATGAATTCTTAAAAAAACATAACCTACTGCCAACACTTTGTTTATCTCATTTGTCTCAATGTTTTTTGAAAATTCACAGTAAATAATAAAATTTCTACTTTCATAATTATTTGTAATACATTGCCATCTTTTGAAAATGATAAGCATTGTAAATACTCTGTTGTATCAACCATAATAAATAAACTTCCAATTTCTTATTGCTTATTTATAACAGTGTGTATTGTTTGTGAATTAACAATAGCACTCACTTTCCTATAACCCCAAAAAGGAAGGAAAAAATCAACAAACAAACAAATTAAAAAAACTCTTTAGCTCTGCTAATTGGTAATTTTAACCTGGGACTATTATACTTATATAAGATTCCTGTCCGTTTCATCCCAATTAAACCATGAAGCAGTTTGTGAAATATTGGTATTACTACATTATAATTATGTTTAAAAGGCCAGTTCTTACCAAATATTACCAGGCAGAAGACGTGATTCATACAAGGGTTCCATCACCTGTCTGCGTGTTGTTGGATCAGGTTGATATGTCCGATTGAACCCTCCTTTGAAGTTGACAATGCCCAATTTCTTGACCCTTGCAAGGAAACAAAGTTACTCAGTGATTTCAGTACGACTTTTTAGAACCTGCATTTGGTTTGAGTAATGTCTTCTGTCTGTTGTGTAGTAGACCCATCGGAACATGTATTGCCAGACTGGCTTGCATCACCACCTGTTTGTTTTCTTTTTGTAATTTTGAGACCACGTTCTAATTTGAAAGGTTCTGCTTTTTGTTTTCTTATTGCTCAAAAGCTTGACGTATGGTTTAAAGAAAATGGCTTTAATTTTGTTGTGCGGAATCTGTGCTACTGCTGTACCACCGAAATATATTCTTTACACTGTCAGCAAGCCAATGCCGCGAGGAAAGCACCATTTTGAGTCTTGAGCACGCATCTGGGTTTTGACTGCTTTATTAGACAATGGACAGTGGTTGAGTTTGACTCCTTAAAGACTGTCTTTTGCTTTCTGAAATTTGTAGAAAACAAAGGATATGGGGTATCCATCCATGTATTTGTTTCAATACTAAATGGAAAGACAGGTTTTGGTTCCATGTGCAATTGCTATACTTCTCTGTTGTCCGGCTGATAGATTGTTGGGATTGAAATTGAAGGCGTTCAAAAATGTAACTATGGAATTTGAACTCTACAAAATTTCTATTTATGTTCCAATTGTGAATAAAAGGAGATTTGTCAATGAGACAGCAACCAAACGACACTAAAAACTAAAAAGGCATTATTCTCTCACTAAATAATTCAAAATTTCGTGACTATGTTGAACGCATTTATCCCATTGAACTTGAGATTAAGTCTGCCTCATATCTTGACTTACATCTAGAAATTGACCATGAGGGTCATTTGAAAACAAAACAATTTGAAAAAAAGATCTGATCTTCAGCTTCCCAATTGTGAAGTTTCCATTTCTATGTAGCAACAATTTTAGCAGCGCCTGCATACGGAGTATATATCTCCCAGTATATACAATATTCCAGGGCTTGTATTTCCTATCATGATTTTCTTGGTAGAGGGTTGCTGCTCACAAGGAAGATATTAAACCAAAAGTTCCAAGTGGTGAAGTTGAAATCATCCCTGTGTAAAATTTACGGATGCCATCACGAGTTGGTTGACCGTATGGAATATCGTTTCTCAGATGATAGCGGATATGTTCCTAATGTAACTACAATCCTGTCCCCTTTTCCCAAATGTGACCTACCGAATTAGACTTATCACTTGGTTTGTACTAACATGATCAACATGACGGGTGCCACATGTGTAGCAGGATCTGCTTACCCTTCCGGAGCACCAGAGATCACCCCAGTTTTTGGTGGGTTAATGTTGCTCAGTCTTTAGTTATCTATGTTGTGTTTTGTGTACTATTGTTTGTCTGTTGTTCTTTTTCTTTTTTAGCCATGGCGTTGTCAGTTTATTATCGACTTTGAATGTCTCTCTGGTATCTTTATCCTGATTTACAAGTGGCACCTGTCGTGTTGCTCATGTAAGTACAACCCTGGTGATAAGTCTAATTCAGTAGATCACATTTGAGGAAAAGGAGGATAAGATTGGGGTTACAACCATCGGAACATATCCCTCGATATTCCATAACGGCCAACCAACTCGTGATGGTGTCCGTAAATTTTTTGAAGGGGTGATTTCAACTTCACCATTTGGAACTCTTGGTTTAATAGCTTCTTTGTGAACAGCAACTGTCTATCAAGGAAATCATGATAGGAAACGCAAGCCCTGGAATATCGTATCAACTGGGAGATATATACTCAATAAATAGGCGCTGTTGGAATGTTGCTACATAGAAATGGAAAGTTCACAATTAGGAAGCTGCAATCATCTCTTTTGTTGTAAAGTTTTGTTTTCAACCAACCATCATTGTCAATTTCTATATGTAAGTCAAGATATGAGGTTGAATTAATTGTATCTGTTGTATCCTTTATTTCAAGTTCCTTGGGATAGATGCGTCTAACATAGTCCCCAAACTTTGAATTATTTAGTGAGATGAAATCATCTGTATAGCGGAATGTGAAGTTTAAGGATAATGCATTTTGATAATGCTAGTTTTAGAAAATTTTGAAGCCCAGGTTTGATTGCTAATAAAATTAATGTTAATAATTTTAGAAAGAGGTTTTGTGGAGCACTTGGAAGACCCAGCAATATACGTTGTTTGTAAGGACACTTATGTAATTTAGGTATCCAATACAGTGTTTTTCTTTTTAGATTGAAATTCCAAACGAACATAGATCAGACCTATGATTATCCAGGACTTCTTCCTTGGTAAGTGTCGGTGGGAGTTTATGTTGAGTTCCCAAGTGAATTGTCAATACCTAATTCATTTATCAAGCAGTTTATGTAATGTGATATACACACAAAAACGATGTTGTTTGGTGCTTTATCTGCGGGGAACAACATATATTTGTCTTCGAAGGTCTTTAAAGATTGGTGTAGCATGTGTATTCATAGAACCATTCATTTTTTTTTAATTCTGATTTGTATCAACGACCTCACATCCTTGATCCATTCGAAAAGAGTATATCTACGCCTTCTTTCTCGCGTTCAACCCATTGCCTGGCATAATCCTCGACTGAATCTATCAGTATTTTGATGTTGGTTTTCCAATTGATGGATTTAGGCTGACAATATTTCGGGCCTTATGATAATACATTTCACAGATAAGTGTTTTGTGGAATGTTTAGGTCACCAGTAATAACGTTGCCAGTCGAATCAGTAAGTTAAGACTCGTCCATATGAGATTCCTGCCACACGTCTTTGTAATCGAAAATCTTAATTAACCTAGACCACAAACCTTTCCTTTAAACATCGATTAGTGGACTATAAAAAGGGGTACAAACATAACTCACACATGCAGAAAGCAATTACAGAAAAGTCCCTATCTCTATATAATACTGAATTTGAATCGACTATATATACATTCAGTTTGAAAGTGTTTAGTAGAAGCGCATTTTCTGTCTAATAACTCGATTTCCGTCCTTTGATAAGAACACAATGTATCATTCTCGATATTTTACTAAACTTATCAGTATCTTTACATCAAACCTTATACTTAATATACCTCATGCATAGCTTCGATTTCTTAACCGGATTTGTCAATGATTTTGGTTCTTTTCGGTTATGTTTTTGATACTTAGGCATCGAGCATAGCTGAAGACTAATTCAGACGTCCCTATCGACAGCTGAATTGTAATGAATTTATTTTTACATCGTATATTGTACAAGGCACTTTTTCCATATTACTGTATCCTTTAATTTGGTTGTGTAGCGTTGACATTGCACTAAAAGAGACTAAGAGAACATGCAGACTTCTTATACGTTCAGGTATTTCACATCCAATTTTTTATGGAAATATTCTTTATAAAGCACAAAAATGTCAGTATTCACCTCTGAAGCTAACAAAACCTCTAAATAGACTTATTAAGAAGGGATATAGTTACGATACTGTTGTCAGGTCATTAAAGATTGCATATTTTGGCGTTAATATTGATTCACTTATAGGGTCTTTGCATCGGCACTAAACACATTTATTTAAAAACCAGTTGTTGGCATGACACGGGTTATGTTCTTCTCATATATGTTATGATGGTATGATACTAAACCCCTAACGGGAAGGATTGTGCCTGATATTCATATGATGAAGACATAATCTTTCAATCAGTTTAATTGAGGTCTGGAGCTGGCATGTCAGTTAACTGCTAGTAGTCTGTTGTTATTTATGTATTATTGTCATTTTGTTTATTTTCTTTGGTTACATCTTCTGACATCAGACTCGGACTTCTCTTGAACTGAATTTTAATGTGCGTATTGTTATGCGTTTACTTTTCTACATTGGCTAGAGGTATAGGGGGAGGGTTGAGATCTCATAAACATGTTTAACCCCGCCGCATTTTTGCGCCTGTCCCAAGTCAGGAGCCTCTAGCCTTTGTTAGTCTTGTATTATTTTTAATTTTAGTTTCTTGTGTACAATTTGGAGTTTAGTATGGCGTTCATTATCACTGAACTAGTATATATATTTGTTTAGGGGCCAGCTTAAGGACGCCTCCGGGTGCGGGAATTTCTCGCTGCATTGAAGACCTGTTGGTGACCTTCTGCTGTTGTCTGTTCTATGGTCGGGTTGTTGTCTCTTTGACACATTCCCCATTTCCATTCTCAATTTTACTATTAACTACTATGGATTCATTATTATTCGTTGGATATCAATTTTCGTGGATTTCGTGGGTACAGGTGAACCACGAAATTAAATGTTCAACGAATAACAAATTTTCCATAGGCTTGTATGCAGACTTCGTCAAAACCACGAAATTAAATATCAACGAACATGTAAGTTTTCCTTAATCCACGAAAATTGGTACCCACGAAAATAAATGAATCCACAGTAAGTAGACATGTCAAACATGGTAACATACAACGACCGTAAAGTACAAACATCCATGGCATGTGAACTGGTTCATATTTTAAACTGGGAAAAAATGGTTTATTTAAAGGGGTTAACAGAATAGACAATAATGTGCAAAAAAATAAAGAATAGAGAAAATTGGCTAAAAATAAACAAATAGAGAATAATGGGGTACTAAAATGTATAAGCTAATTAATTGTGTAAAAATAAAGAATTCAGTAAAAAGTACTGATTACAGAAATAAATGATTAACAGATTATAATGTAATGTACATAAAGTTAACAATGGATAGTAATATATGTTTATAACGGAAACCATGTTATTGAATATTTTCCCATAAGAAATATTTATCATGACATTGTCTATAACATGGTGTTTCCATAGGGACATGCATCTGTAATATGGAACAAATATATGTTGACAATACACGATAATTTCCGAGGAATCATGGCGTCCGCTATTTTCAGCAGACCAAGTTGTTTTATGGAGGGTCGTCCATTTCCCTGCTCATATAAGATAACTAAGGCTCTCAAAACAGGATTCTTAAAATGTTTATTTTTTTACACAAGCTAATCAGTTTAAACCGTTGATATCGCCATTTTCTAACACACATTGTATAAAAATAACTAACGCATCGCCAAGGATAACACAAATGCCCAACCATGTTATTGTGACACTTCAAACAGTGACTTGAAGTTTTCGTTTTGGATGCAAGATGCCAATTTCATAACTTCAACAGACTGGAGTTCAATTAGGTTCATATCCTATCTCATTAGAATATAGATCTCTGATTTCGGTTAACCTTATATATACGAGCATGCGAGTTGTTAGTCTGAATATTAATGAGATTGGTTCATATCAACTTACCAATAACTTCATTTTAGTAAACATTATTTGCTGCTCCTTGAGAAAAACCCGCTGCAATTGTTTGCACCTGTCCTAAGTCAGGAATCTGATGTTCAGTAGTTGTCGTTTGTTGATGTGGTTCATAACTGTTTCTCGTTTCTTGTTTTTCATATAGATTAGACCGTTGGTTTTCCCGTTTGAAAGGTTTTACACTAGTAATTTTTTGGGGCCCTTTATAGCTTGCTGTTCGGTGTGAGCCAAGGCTCCGTGTTGAAGACCGTACTTTGACCTATAATGGTTTACTTTTATAAATTTTGACTTGGATGGAGAGTTGTCTCATTGGCACTCATACCACATCTTCTTATATCTAGTGTGGACCAGATTATATATTTCTTTGTCAGAATACTGTATGACCAAGGAAGGGGACGCGAGAACAAAAATTGTTTGGGGACCAGATTATTAGTTTCTCTGTCATAATACTGTATGACCAAGGAGAGGAACATGAGGAAAAAAAGGTTAGCTTGTTTTGGTGTCATAATATTTATTTAACTGTAACAGTATTGTATGACTATGGCAAGCAAAGCGAGCATAAAAAACTTTTTTTTCGGTCCAAATTATTTATGTATTTGTTATACAGAGCTGTATGACCACGGCGGACGAAGCAATCATATAAAATAAGCTTGTTACGAGGACAGGATATTTATTTTCATGTACATTTAGGCCCAAATATTTATTTTCAACATTTAGTTGGACAGAATATTTATTTGCAAAAATTGCTCCCTCCCGATCGTCCCCCTTCTAGAGCACTTGAGTTCAATATTGAGTTGTGCAGTGTTTGTCATTGTTTGCTTTTCTTGTTCCTGCTTTTGTCTTTTTTCTCTCGGTTTTCCTTCTTCCTGACTGAAGCTTCGGTTTATACTTTTCCCCTCATACTTGAATGCATACATCTGGTCTTTATTATGAACGCATACAGAAAGTTTGAAGAAAAAGCTCTATTTAGAGGTTTGGCATGTATATGGAATGACGTCGGGTACTGAAATCACCCAAAACTGATACAGTCAACTTCTTTAATAAGTGAGAATAAGAAGACAACAGCAGTGTTAACTTGGAATTTTTCTACACAAAGGATTGGGTAAACTTTTTCACACCGGGAAATTCGCGGAGGGATCCGAATCCCAAGAAGTAACAGGGGCGGATCCAGCCTTTTTTTAACTTGAACTTGAACCCTTTGTCACCATTCAAAAGCATTGATCGTCAAAGGGGGTTCCAAGCCCCCACCCCACGCCCTTCCCTTGATCCGCCACTGAGCAATTATACTTTGTTTAGTGCAATTGGATCCAATTCCCACGCTGGATTATGCTTCGTGGGAATTGGATCCAGATTGTACTAACGAATTGCACTACATAAAACATAACTTTGTCTATAAAACATAACTTTGTCTGCTGAAAATAGCAGACAAAATGTTTCCTTGGAAATTGTTTAACTTGTAAGTGTCAACATATATTTATTTCTTAATTATACCCTTAATTCTCCAAAATCCGTTATTATTTTGTTTTCTATAAATTTAAATTATTTTCGCGTTTCAAGTTCTGTGATATATTAATATAAAAAATACTCGAAATAACATATATTTATCTGTAATTTAATGTAAATGGTAAATACATGATATTTCTAATATATTTATGTTAATATCAGTATCACAGAAAAACAAGAAAATAATTGAAATTGAAATAAAACAAAAAAATAAGGATTCTGGAAAAAAGGGGGAGTGCTTAAATCAAATTATCCTGTCCCAAAGTACCTATGTTTTTTTCAACATAACTGCAAGGACGTATATTAGATTTAGTTTAACGTCCTTGATAACTGTAATAAAACATTCCAACTTCACATCGGAGGAATAAGATTTGTTTTTTTATTTCAAAGTTGTTTCCAATTTTTTACTAATTTCCAAAAGAATCATTTTTTTCCACTTACCTTCAGCAGTAGGGATGATGAGGGTGTATGCCACCCTCCTCCCTTTGATTGAAAATATATAATTTTTCAGCATAAAATCGTTCAAAAAATTTCGCGGTATTAATATTCCCTTTATGGAACTACGCTCCCCTTTCAAAAATCCTGGATTTGCCCCTGTAATCAAAAAAAACAATTATTAATTCTTTATAGGAAGTAAGATTCAAAAATTTTATTTTAAAAACACATGCCCCTTCCCACATAAAAGAAGTACGGACGGTGTCTAAGAGACTGTTAATCTTGTCAATAATTTCTCCCTGGGTAAATAGTCGTTTGTTTCCGAAAACGAATCACTATTACTTCATCCGGGGTTTCCCGCGTCACCGCATAGTCGGGGAGGTCGCCATACTTCTCTTTGTCTGGTAGGTACGCTTATCTTTTTCGGCTCGTAACTACAATTAATTGCCTGACAAATACTACATATTTAATGCAGACATTTAGAACTCATATTTTTCTTTATTTTTAGTGTAAAATAAGACCTTTCAAGATGGAGAACCCTGAAACAATTGGAATGAGACGGCCGTTCGATCCTGTGGCACATGAGTTGGATGCTAGTTTCCGACTCACCAAGTTTGCTGACCTAAAGGGATGAGGGTGTAAAGTCCCTCAAGAAGTTCTTGATAAGCTTCTCGAGGGACTACAACAGGACAGCAATGCCCAGGAGTCGGAGCAGTCTCATTTCCAGTACATGGCTGAAACTCCCCGAATGGGTAAGTATTTAAAAAATTGAAATTGTCACTCATTTTCGGAATCGACATAAACATACAATCTACATCGATTCCGACAAACGGATACAAATAACAGTTGTTTTTTGGCAACATATACATTAAAAAGAGACAATCTTGAAAGTTTTTGCAATGTATATTTCATTCATAACGCTTTCATAGTATAAGGTAGCATAATGTTGATGTAAAACATATATTTAATCAGTGACCTGGATGTTCCCCAGGAACAAAAATGGCGGACTAAAATGTCGTGGACGGTGAGGAACCACGTGATTATTAAGAAATCCGGAAATTCTTGATAGAACCGCTATGTATATTTTTTTTAATTTTCTTGCAAATGCATTCTTTCATTAAAAAGAAAACAAATTTCGAATGTATTTTGAGTAAACAACTACACCAGTAATCAGTGATGTTGTGTTTAAATGTTGCCGCAAAATTTTTAAACATATTTGCTTTTGGGGGGAGGGTTGTACAGTGGGGTCTGTAAGCCCATTTCACGGCCAGTGTTCCTTTCACCTTTTTTGAATAATATGTAAATATTCACAACTTTGAAGTTATATTATCATGCTTGTAGTGTGTCAGTTTGGCCGCAGTCATATTTTTTATGTAATGTGATAAAAGCTCTTTATAGAATATAGGGCCCTTTAATTGGAAAATAAAATATTCTTCTTCTTATTAATATTCCCCACTTAAACCCTTGTCAAATTGCCCATATAATTTAATGTTTGTTTTGATTGAAGTGGTGCATATTTGTTATTCTGTATATTTGTGTCATGATATTTTAGTATGGATAATATGTGTTGAAATAAAAAAAAAAATGAAATGAGAGCCAAGCTACAAATGTATGAAAAAAATTGGTATTTTTTTGGTTTTACAATTCGTACTTCTATTGTTTTTACTAATATGCCAAGCTTACTACAGTAATAAGTTACTTTTATAACAAAATGAGAAGTACACAGTAACACTAAAATTCATTATCTTAAAGAAAGGTTTGATATTGTATCAAACTGAAAAAAAAATCGTAGTCTATAGATTTTGCAACAACAACAATTCTTCATTTAAAGAGGGTTACATAGTTAGTCGTCCTGTATACCCTCATCATAGAAAAGCATAAACTTTTTTTTAAAACTAAAAAGTTAACATGTTCATGGCATACATTGGTATAAAAGTTCAAGGAATAATGACTAAAAAATGCATATAGTGTTGTGAACAAATGAAATAATTGATATTAAAAATTATTTATATCAATAGTTTGATTTCAAAAAGTGATCTGTTATGTTGTATTAAAAAGCGTTAACATTTATATTTTTTAATATTTCTAAAAGGTGTAGGCAAGAATATCCAGAATACATAAAAGTTTTCTTTAAAATTAGATTTTTGTCGAGCCTGCGACTTTTGTCGCAGAAAGCTCGACATAGGGATAGTGATCCGGCGGAGGCGGCGTTAGCTAACTTCTTAAAAGCTTTATATTTTAGAAGCTAGAAGACCTGGATGCTTCATACTTTGTATATAGATGCCTTATGTTACGAAGTTTCCGTCTGTCATATGTCCATTGTCCTTGACCTCATTTTCATGGTTCAGTGACTACTTGAAAAAAAAGTCAAAATTTTTTGTAATGTTAATTTCTTTCTTATTATGAGTTATAGGATAACTATATGCAATAGGTCAACTATATTTAGTATGTGCGTACCTTGCAAGGTCCTCATGCCCGTCAGACAATTTTCATTTGACCTCGACCTCATTTCATGGATCAGTGAACAAGGTTAAGTTTTCGTGGTCAAGTCCATATATCAGATACTATAAGGCCAAAACAAATTAATAGTGTGTTTCCTATTTCATCTTCAAAAAAATTAGGTAGGGTAGGTAGGTAAAACATTTTATTTTATGAAAACATTTTATTTTTTTTTTATTGATGGGTCGACAGCAGAAAAAAGTTCCAAATCAAATAGTTTGATGTGCGGGCTTCTCTGATATTTAGAAAAGTAATTAAATCTACAGCTTTTTTAATTTTCTGTTTTAATTCTGCGTCAGAAATATGAAAATAAACTTTAATGAAAATTTTATGCATTTCATTGGTCGTAAAAAGAAAAGTGTATGTTCTTCACGATTAATTATCTTAAACCAAAAATGGCAGTGAAAAATCTGGCATGGTATGTTATTATGTTGATCCTCGTTGAACCTAAAAATGTAAATGTCACACAGGGTATACATATGGAAGCAGATTCGTACCCCTTGAAAAAACTCTGAACCGATGCTAAGCAGCAGATAATTATGATTTTTTTAGGGTTAATACTCTGCCCTTGCACCCTCTTTATTTAATATACAGATGTGTTTTGATGTTTGACAAAATGTGATGGTGATTGAAGATTGGGTGGTTCTGACAATATTAAAATTCCAGGTTTTGAGAAGAGTGAGAATGTGAAATCTTTGTCTTATTAATGATGGTAGTAATGCCTGTTACCGTCAGGCGTCAAATGGTAATTTTTGGCTACCGTTAGCGTCAAATTGGTCAAAATTTTATCTTAATTCATCAAAATATCCTTATCCTGATTCTTCAGAGCAAGGATTTGTATACTATAGGTCTCAGATAATTATCGTTACCGTTTTTTTGGAAAATTTTTCACGTGATTCGTCAAGATCAGTCGATTTTTTTACCGTCTAAAAGAAAGTGTACATTTTATCGTCATGCACTAAAAATTACCGTTAACGTCGTTTGGCAAGATTTTTTAGCGTTATTCTGTCTACATATGATTGTTCTGCCTAACAGAAGTTCCACTGGAAACTTTGTTATAACCAATGTCATAATATCTGTTCCTGTTGGAATAAATATTCTATACCATTCATTCCGTAAGGAACATATACTGTAATATTTATTCCAGTGGAAATAATATTCCAGAACACTTTTTCCATTTGGAACTTCTATTTCGTGACAATTCGTCGTGAAGGTACCTCATTAATCTACTGGTCAAATAAATTGCAGATGTAAATATGACAGGATTTTTTCCCTTTTCTTGTATAAATTGTTATGGGACCAGCCAGAGAAATAAAAAAGAATAAAAGTAGACATGGTGCTGGGGCAGATTCATTTATAAATGAATATGAATCATACACCATGTCTGCCTACGAGGAAAGCTTCTGAAGTTTCATCTTTCTCGTTCCACATTGTCTGTTCCCTTGCCATCATAAACTAAAAAGCATTAACAGCCGTTTATGTTGCGTCTTGGGCACAATTCTGTACAACATTCGTAAGAGCATGTTTTACAACAAAAGCTGGATTGATTTTAGCAGTTTTTACTATAAAATTGTTAGTCAATTTACCGACAGTTACAGTCTGTCCAACCTGAAACGATTCTGACTGTTGCCGCGGGTCCAAAGAAGCACAGGTACTAGACGAGATTTAGTTAATATATGTATATATACTGAATAGACTTCATTATATATACAAATATTTAAAAAATCTCGCTTGTAAAGGCTGTTCAAAGAAGTTGAACAAAGTGCGTCAACTTCGTATTTTTTTCGTCTATAGGTCTGCTTGATGTTCATCAAAAAGATTCATCATATCGTAATTATCCGGATTCGATGTCATTATATTTTGTGTGCATGTGATCACATTTCGCATATTTGACAGCTAATACGCTACACGGTTGCCGAAAAGCCATGCTTGTTTATTTAAAATCTTGGTCCTTGAAACGCTTTACTTATCAATATTGGTCGTTATTATCAAACGCTTTGAAGATCTATAGTATTCTAAACGAATAATCGGATCCGGACTGACTGACAAATCCGGATTTTGAATTTTTATTTTATTTTTGTCAATAAAATGTTTAGGGTCGGCGTCGGAAACGGAGGTAGGGTCGGGAAACCGGAAACACACCATTTATTTATTTTGGCCTAAGCAGTAGGTCTACTATATTTGGTATATGGAATGATTGTAAGGTGTACATGTCCAACTGGTAGGTGTCATCTGACCTTGACCTCATTTTCATGGTTCAGTGGTCAAAGTTAAGTTTTTGAGTTTTGGTCTTTTTTTCTAATACTATATGCAATAGGTCAACTATATTTAGTATGTGTGTACCTTGCAAGGTCCTCATGCCCGTCAGACAATTTTCATTTGTCCTCGACCTCATTTCATGGATCAGTGAACAAGGTTAAGTTTTCGTGGTCAAGTCCATATATCAGATACTATAAGCAGTAGGGCTACTATATTTGGTATATGGAATGATTGTAAGGTGTGCATGTCCAACTGGTAGGTGTCATCAGACCTTGACCTCATTTTCATGGTTCAGTGGTCAAAGTTAAGATTTTGAGTTTTGGTCTTTTTTTCTAATACTATATGCAATAGGTCAACTATATTTGGTGTATGGAAATATTTTATGATGTACATGTCAGTCTCGCAGGTTTTATTTGACCTTGACCTCATTTCCACGGTTCATTTCTCAGTGTTAAGTTTTTGTGTTTAGGTCTGTTTTTCTTCAACTATAAGCAATAGATCAACTATATTTGTTGTATGGAAGGATTGTAAGGTGTATATGTCTGTCTGGCAGATATCATCTGACCTTGACCTCATTTTCATGGTTCATTGGTCAATATTTAGTTTTCTTGGTTAAGACTGTTTCTTAGAAACTATAAGCAATAGGTCAACTATGTTTGGTTTATTGAATGATTGTAAGGTGTACATGTATTTCTCGTCTGGTTTATCTGACCTTGACCTCATTTTCTTGGATCATGTTAAGTTTATGTGTTACTTGTAGTAAAGCTTTATATTTAGGACTATCAACATAAAATCAATGGTTAGTAAAGAAGGCGAGACATTTCAGTGTGTGCACTCTTGTTGGGTTAGGTAGTATGAGGTTTTTTCTTGGAACAGAATTTCTCAAGGTTTTAACAAAATGAAATTAATTTGCTAGTAAGTCAAAAATATGATTGGACATCATGCACTCACTACATGCTGACAACAACAACTTTTCTTATAGAAATAAAATTGACATCAACTCAAATCTGTGTATATTTTTGTCATAAAAATATTTGTGGACTCACAAAATTTCGTACAACAAGTATCCCCTGATGGTGTTGGGGTCTCAGACTATGACACAACGGATAAAAATTGCCAGTAGGCACTATGGGTAATGCCTTGAAACAGGCAGGTGCTCAGGAAACATCATTTATGAATGTTTGAATTTATGTTTTGCAAGTTATGAATTATTTTGTAGGTATTGGTATGGATGCATCAGTCACACCATTACGTCATGGAGGTCTCTCATTGGTTCAGACAACAGATTTCTTCTATCCTTTGGTTGATGACCCTTATATGATGGTAAATTAAATAAAATCATGTTCCTAGGGAAGAGGGGGTTCTGCATCATTAAAAAAGAATGCAATGGTTAAATTTAACCTTTGACAGTTTGACCTTTTTGGTCATCTTACCCTATGGGCAGTGTGAGCTATTGCTGTCACTTGATCTTTGTCTATATATGTCAGGAACTTTTTAAACAGTCTTCTTCTGAAACCACTGGTCTAATATCAATAAAACTTGATTTCCTTTGCTATAGCATAGCAATACCTATCTAGTTAATGAGACATAAACCAACTACACATAAAATGGTAATATCCAGAGGTCACTAAACAGTCCAACTACACATAAACTGGTAATATCCAGAGATCACTAAACAGTCCAACTACACATAAACTGGTAATATCCAGAGGTCACTAAACAGTCCAACTACACATTAACTGGTAATATCCAGAGGTCACTAAACAGGCCTCTACAATAACTTTTTTTTCAACTTGTCTAGTAGGACAAGTACATACCAAAACTTACTTGTCCGAATGAAATTGTAACTTGTCCAAAAAAAATCTTAATAATAACCTTTTTTGCATTTTAAGTTGATTCAAGGAACAAAATGAATTAAAACAATATAACAGAATTTGATTTACATGTATATCTTTTGAAATACTTTTCAAAAATATGAGTCGAGAACAACTGAATCTAGTCATGTCACAGGACTTAGGTCCTAGCTTTCTTCAATGCTAAAGTCTCATCAGACTCTGCACATGAGGCACCGTCTGATAGGCCTGTCAATGTACACTCATTGGATTTGTATCTATGTTTTTTAGTTGAAAAAAGTTTTTTCAAATGCAATCAATAAAAAAAAGAAGATGAGGTATGATTGCCAATGAGACAACTCTTTGCAAGAGACCAAATGACACAGAAATTAACTACTATAGATCACCGAATTGCAAGTATTGTTTTTTTCTACATATGATCAAATATGATTTTGTGAATTTTATGGTAAATAATTTCTTCATTTTTATTTAAAAAATATTTTTTGTTAAAAAAATTACCGGTATGGTATTTATTATAAAGCAACAGAATAAGGTGGAAAACCAGGTACTGATTTGTCTTGGTCCCTGCCTTGCCAGTTTCCGAGCTGGTGAGGAACTGTCTTGAAAAGTTACCTTATCTACAAAGCCATGCTGATTCGGATCAGTAAGACTGGTTTCCGAGAAAAGTATGCCTTTTACCTCTAAAAAAAGTATCTGACAAAGAACCAGTTTTAAATATCGATTGCAAGTAAACATGTCAAATTAATACTTGTTTTTATCTTCTATTCTTGTTTTTTGTCTATAATTACTTTGTTCATCAAAGTCGGATTAAATTTTTTTTCTGTAGAATAATTTTACTTGTCCCATCGGACAAGCTTGATATAGCTTTTACTTGTCCGACCTTTTTTTCCTCTGGTACCGGACAATCGGACAAGCGTTATTGTCGAGGCCTGCTAAACAGTCCAACTACACATAAACTCTTAATATCCAGAGGTCACTATACAGTCCAACTACACATAAACTGGTAATATCCAGAGGTCACTAAACAGTCCAACTACACATAAACTGGTAATATCCAGAGGTCACTAAACAGTCCAACTACACATAAACTGGTAATATCCAGAGATCACTATACAGTCCAACTACACATAGATTGTTAATATCCAGAGGTCACTATACAGTCCAACTACACATAAACTGGTAATATCCAGAGGTCACTAAACAGTCCAACTACACATAAACTGGTAATATCCAGAGCTCACTATACAGTCCAACTACACATAAACTGGTAATATCCAGAGGTCACAGTCTAATAATAGATCTCTTCAAATTGCCCAAAGTCTAAAAATGTTGAATTAAATTGTAAGAGAGGCTATCAAAAGATCTTCAATAAATAGCAAATTCCATAATGTGGTTTTGTGTGCACTTTAACATTTATTATGTTGGCTCCTGATGTTTAAATATTTATTTCTTATGCAGCAAAAATACTGCAATCTGATTGGTTAATTACCCCGGTGTAAATAACACTCCACCCTTGTTCACCCCGGGATAAATAAAATTTTGCCAAAAAATTGCCAAAATAAAGAAAAAAAATAAAATGTAAAAAAAAAAAATAAATATAAAAAATAAAAAATAAATAAATTTGAAGACAAAAATTAAAAAAAATTTTTTTTTTAATTTTTTAAAATTTTGTTTTCCCAAAAATTCAAAAGAACAAAAATTTTTTTCTGAATTTCCCAAAAATAAAGAAAAAAAGTATTTGACAATATGCAGCAACATCATCGTTGAAAAAATGTTACACTGGAAATTTTTCATTAGCATTTTTCAATTTTACATCCTGGTTTAAAAATGAGTAAAGGAATTGTTCATAAGAAATAAATTCGTTATCTTGGTGTAATCAGGGGTGTGCGGAATTTTACACCGTTGTTGAAAATCCATACACCCATCATTCGGCTGCGCGTCAAAAATTCTGAACACCCCTGATTACACCAAGATAACTAATAATACCCTGGCAGGGATAAATGAAAAGGTTTAGAGTTGATTTATTATAATTTTGTGTTTTATGGTTTTTGTTGGGTATAGGTGAAACATGAAATTAGGTATATTGTAAATCAACAAAATATAAATTCCCTTTAAAGTTTCTAAAGGCTTGAATGAAAATTTGGTACCTCAAAAATAAACAAATCCACAATATACCACTGTGCCTGATAATTAGGTGTTTGATTTGCTAAATCTGCATACATCATTATATGTATGACAAACAAATGATCAATTGACGATATAAGATGTTTTCAATATAAAAATATGGTATGATTGCCAATGAGACAGCTTTTCCCCAGTGATCAAATAACTTAGAAAATAGCAATGCTTGCAATAGGATAATACCTGTGTTTCCACTTATATGCTGGAAAAAAAGGGAAGATAAGCGAATTATTTTTTCTTTCAAAATGTTTTTAACTGGTTTCAACATTGGAAATAGTATGACTTAACTTAAGTCAACTTTGATATTGTTTGTACAAAAATGACAAAACAAAATTTTGAGTAGGTACGCGAAATTTGGGTCAGAAGGGTAAGCAGAAACACTTACTTTTTGAAGGCTTTATTCCTTATTGAGACTTTACAAAAACGTTTTGTTATTCATTTTCATTGACTGAAATTTTTCTGCAGTTGTTCAGTTTGAAGAAAAGAATCCAACCTTCAACCTTGAAAAGAATTTATTTTATTGATAATTTAAAGGCCAAAAATTTCTTCAATAAAAACAATTTTATTTTGAGAATAGAGACTTACAAGTTGGGGACCCCAATTTGAAGTAAATTGATAGTGAAGTGTCATTGAGTTTTTATGTATGAAAATATGACCAGGTCGTGATGGATAAACATCCCTAGATGTGGAATGTCTTAATAAAAAAGATAAAAATGTGAAGCAAGAATTTTGGTGTTGACTAGAAATAGAAATCACAGGCAGAAATGGACAAAAAGAATGAAAATAAACAGAAGAGAGAATTTAAAAGTTTTGTGAAGTTCTGATTGCTCTTGACTGTCCTACGAAAAATTTGTAAAACTATCAATTTTTGTCCAATTTGTACAAAACAATTACAATTTAATAATAATCAAATATATATTTTTTTCTCTCTTCTGAGTACTGTACAATGTACATGCTGGACATAGTATAAGTCTATACATTATGTCCCAGCTATGTGCAATCAAACATTGAATAAACATCATCCTCTAGATGTCTTTGTTTTGTTGATTGCTTTCCATCTCATTGATGTATACCGGGTCTGTTTCTATCCATACACATAAATATCAAAAATTCCATCTTGTGTTACAAAAAAGTTTTAAGAATCCTACTAGTTTTGAGTAAAATTCTAGATATATTGTGAAATTCAGGGCAAGTTACTATTTTTCTTGCCTTTCTTTCTCTTGAACAGTAAAATTAAGAGTATGCTTGCCAGGGACAAGTGCTTAGAACATATATTTCCACACCCCTGTAAGTTGTGTAAGAAAGAAATAAGAGATGTGTAGTCCGTTTTCAATTGAGTTATTATTGATGAGAATCAGACTTTTAAAGATTTGAATTCTATCTAAATTCTTTATACAAGACCCATTCACTAATAGCTGTATAAGTATATTAGTGCTTATATGGTCGCATTGAATGGAACATGAAAAAGTTATCTCTTTGTCATTTACATTTTATTTGTAAAGTAAAATGGCACTCTGTTCTCTAACAATTTGTTTTAGACACAATGTATGTAGAACAGCTAATTAGTCCCCTACCGACGAAGTCGAAGGGGAATTTAGGTTTGCACTCTGTCTGTCCGTCTTTCCATCTGTCAGTCCGGCAACTCAGCTTTCCACACTTTTTTTCTTCGTTCTTGAAGATATTGATTTGATATTTCGTATATAGTTCTATCATGACAAGTTATAGATCAAGTTCGAATTTTGTTCCGGTCTGATGATTTAGTCCAGAGTTATATGGTCCATGAAAAAACTCCATAACTAATGTTAGAGTACTATGTTAAACCATATAATCTGTACAAAGGGAGATAACTCATTTTTTAAAAGACATTCTTTGGTAAATTGTTTGAGGAATTTTGTGGCAGGTTTATATGTTATTTTGTATAAACTAATTTTCTGAATGCTACATGTATATATATATATATATTTTTTTTATTAAATGAAATCCTTTAATTAGATAATAATCTATTTTTATTAAGGTATATATTTCTTTACATTACATTGTGTAGATAAAAGTTGTTGACATTTTATAGGTAAGTTACAAATCTATATTAGTTTGTGACAAATGAAAGAAAAAATATTTGGAACTATTAATTATATTTGATTGTAATTTGAAAATAGATATACATTGAATTACATCATATCTAATGTTAGAGTGTTATAGGTTTTTCATCATGCTTGAAGATGTTGATTGACAATTGGTAAATAGTTTTATCAAGTTACAGATCAAGTTCAAATTTTTGTTTCGGTCTGA